GACTGGTATCAAATAGTTTGCTACCTACAATTTCTTCTAAACCTTTTGTGGTTTCAGGTCTTAAATTTAAGTTTTTAATCCATTTTTAGTTTACTTTCAGATATGGAATAAGACAACAGTCTAGTTTCATTTTTTATTTACATGTATCTGTCCAGTTTTCCAAATACCACTTATTGAAGAGACTGTTATTTCATTATATATTCTTATGTCCTTTATCATAGATTACTTGATCATATTATAAGTATTTTTTTTTTTTTTGGTTTCTGAATTTTGTTCCATTGATTTATTTGTGCTTTGTCAGAACCATTTTCTTCTTATTATTATTACTTAGCAATATAGTTTGAAATCAGGGTACATGATACCTCCAACTTCGTTCTTCTGTCTCAAGATTGCTTTGTTTTATTCATGGTCTTTTGTTGTGCCACATAAATTTTTGGATAAATTGTTCTAGTTCTGATAAGAATGTCATTGGTATTTTGATAAGAATTTCATTGATCTAAAAATTTCATTAGATTGCTTTCAGTAGTATGGTCATTTTAATAATATTAATCCTTCTAATCCATGAGCATGGTATGTTCTTTCTTTTATTTGTGTCCTCCGTAATGTCCTATAGTTTTCACAATACCTCATTGGTTGAATTTACTCCTACTTATTTTATTTTTGCAGTTGTAAATGGGATTGTTTTCTTAATTTATCCTTCTGATTGTTATTATTGTAGGAACACATGTATTTCTGTTTATTTTGTATTCTGCTACTTTACAGAATTGTTTCATTAATTATATTAATATTTGGTGTGTGTTTTTAGGGCTTTCTACATACCGTATATATTACCATGGCATCTGAAAATATTAAATTTTACTACTTCTTTTCCAGTTTGGATGCCTTTTATTTCTTGTTCTTGTCTGATTACTGTGGCTAGGACCTCCAATACTATATTGAGTAGTGGTGGTGAGAGTGGGCATCCTTAAATTTTTTGTGATCTTAGAGAAAAAGCTTCTTGATTTTCACCATTAAGTATGATATTAGCTGTGGGCTTTATAAAGTTTTTCTTTTGCTTAGTTCTGCTTTGATTCTTATTATTTCCTTCTACTTTGGGGTTTGTTTCTCTTTTATTGTTTTTTTTCAGTAATTTTAGATTATTTATTTGGGATTCTTCCTGCCTCTTGAGGTAGGCCTGTATAACTATTAATTTCCTCTTATAACTGCTTTTGCTGAATTCCATACATTTTGTAAAGTTGTGTTTTCATTTTTATTTGTTTCAAGGTAGTGTTTGATTTCCTCTTTGATCCTCTTTCTCTCCGACTTTCTACTCTTTTTGGAATCCCTATAATGAAAATGTTAGGGATGTTATATAATATGGGCTTGATGTTATCCATAGATCTCATACTATTTTCACTTTTTTTTAAATTCTTTTTTCATTTGCTGTTCTGTTTGGGTGAATTTCACTATTCTATCTTCGAGGTCACTAATCCATTCTTCTGTATTAACTAATCTGCTGTGGATCCCTTCTAGTGTTTTCTTCATTTCAGTTATGTTCTTTACCTCTGATTGGTTCATTACATTTTCTATCTTTTTGTTGAAGTGTTCTCTGAGTTCCTTTATTATATGCTCAAATTTGTTGAGTATCCTTTTGATCATTGAATTCTTTTTTTTAAAATATATTTTATTGGTTTTTCACAGAGAGGAAGAGAGAGGGATAGAGAGTTAGAAACATCGATGAGAGAGAGACATCGATCAGCTGCCTCTTGTACACCCCCCACTGGGGATGTGCCTGCAACCAAGGTACGTGCCCTTGACCAGAATCAAACCCGGGACCTTTTAGTCCGCAGGCCGATACTCTATCCACTGAGCCAAACCGGTTTCGGCTGATCATTGAATTCTTTATCAGGTAAATCACTTGTTTGTATTTCATTAGAGTTTTCTCTGGAGTATTTTCTTGTTCCTTTATTTGGGGCATGTTTTTCTGTCTCTCCATATTTTAACTTTATTTTCTGTGTTTTTTCCTAGGAATTGGATAGAATAGCTGTTTTTCTCTCCCAGTCTTGAAGGAGTGGTCTCTGTGTAGACTGTGTGTTGAACAGTTTTGGAAGGCCAATTGTAATCAGTGCAGCTATGTATAGTGCCTGGTGTGTGGTCTGGCTTTGGCGAGTGAGTTCTAGGTGGGGCAGTTGTAGGTGGTGCTTCCTTGCTTTTTAAATCTGGGTCAGGCTGCCTGATGTAGACGGAGCTGCTTGGTTTGCTCTTGGCGTGCCCTGTTGTTTTTACTGTGGCCAGAGCAGGGGCTGGGTGGAGCTTCTTTACATACTTGCCTTTCAGCAACCCACCAATTCTGCTCCCTCTATAGACGGTGCACTTACTCATGCACCCAGAGGTGTCCCTGTCCACAGGAGCAGCCCTGTGTGAGTGGCCTATTTCTTTAAAAGTCCACAGTCAGAGCAGGGTATGGGCAGGGCCACTCTGTGTGCCTGCCTTACCGGCTCTGCCCTTTCTCTGGGTGGGGCAGTCTTGCATGCATGCTGAGCTGCAGTATGCTAGTTTTCACCCTCTCCAGGCAGGGTAACCCTGCATGCACACAATAGCACCCTGTTCACTCTCACAGGGCAGCCCTGCATGTGGGTGCTGCTCCACAGTGTCTCCAGGAGGGCAGCCTGCCCACTATCTTACACTTTCCGAACAGGGTATCCCTACCGGCGACATCATGGTATTTTCTTGTTGTTTTTTGTTTGTTTGTTTTGAAAATATATTTTATTGATTTTTTTTTTTTTTCTTACAGAGAGGAAGGGAGAGGGAGAGGGACAAAGAGTTAGAAACATCGATGAGAAACATCGATTCAGCTGCCTCCTGCACACTCCCCACTGGGGATGTGCCCGCAACCAAGGTACATGCCCTTGACCGAAATTGAACCTGGAACCCTTCAGTCTGCAGGTCGACGCCCTATCCACTGGGCTAAACCGGTTAGGTCAACATCGTGGCATTTTCTAGTCCCACATTCTCTCCAGGTGGGGAGCTCCCTGTGCACACAGCCTGGTGGGTGTGCAAACAGCACCCTGCCCTGTCTGCTGAGTCAGCTTTCAGGTGGAGGGGCACCTTCTGTACGCTGCGGCTCCTCCTGTTTCTGCTGGATCTGGATACAGAAGGGTGGCTGAGGACACGCTCCAGTGCCCTGCAGGTGGGCCAGGGACCTGGATGGAGCTCCTGCCCATACCACATGTCAGGGAAGCGTAAACAATGGCGCTCACCAGTTCCTCCGGCCCCGGAGAGCTCTCGTGTTCCCCAGCCTTCTCTATGCATCCCTTTCTCTTGCTTGTGCAGCTGTTCAGCTGGCTCCCCTTTGGCTCGCAGGGGGCACTGCCCAGGTATTTGCACTTTCGATGTGTCCTTGGAGGCTGGTGAGCTCAGTGGCAACCTGTGCTGACATCTTGGACTCACCCCTCAATGTGTCTTACTTGTACTAGCGGAAGCCTCCAGTCCCTTTTCACATGCTTTTGCAATTAAAACTGTTAAAAAAAAATATGCTTGATTATTCAAACTTGTTCTTCAGACTTATTACTCTTCTAGGTCCTGTCTGGTTTGGCACATCCCAAAGAGAAACCCACCTGGGTCCCTTAAGCTCAGCTGGCTGCACGGGAAAGGAGGGTCTGAGAACCTAAACCCCACAACCTGTACCCTGTTGTGCCGTAAGCTTGACAGTTTGAGATTTCATTCTCTAACACGCCTTTGGGTGGACTGCCCCTGATTTTTCTCTCTCTGGGCAACAAGGCTTTGCTTTACCCACCCATGTCCTTTGTACACGTGACAGAGCCAGAACGTATTCTCTCTGCTCCTTTGGAAAACTAACATTATCATCATCAGATAATAATCAGGTTCCATTCACCCACCCTCACTCAGGGACTCTCCAGGATACCTGATGACTCAAGGTTTCTCTCCGCTGCACAGGAAAAGAAAGACAACAGGGTGAAGGTGCGACAGACAGGCTTGGGGTTAAATTGTCTAGACCTGCTTTTTATTTGCAGCCATTGCATACGGATTTCCAAAGTGAAATTTTAAATCTTGTTGAATTTCAGGAGCAGGCAGAGAAATCTGCTGTGGACTATCTGCAGGACAGACAGCTCCTCCGTGGAGGTCAGAATAGTTGTCTTGTTTTCCCCTGATCCTGGTTTATACGTTGGCATCGCCATGATAAACAGCCACCTTGGATGGCGCTTGCAGTACCTCTGTCTCCAGGTAAAAAGCACTATTCTAATGTTCTTGGCACTAGAACTGAAAAGCAGTGCTGGGTGTCTGGCAGATATGAAGTGATGGGATGTCTACCGCTGAGAGAACACTTATGTGAACACTACCTAAATCCAGTGTGGCCAGATGTGGTTACCTTTCTGTTCAGTCACTTCCCTCTGCAGATGGGCAACGAGAGGAGAAAGTAGGAAGAAAGGAAATGAAGGATTACCAATTGGTTCCTCTAGAGTGGACAGAAACCAAGGCACATGCATAATTTTAACCCTTAAAACGACCCCAGCAACTAGAAATAACAAATCCCATCTCAGAGCTTTGCAACATGAAAACTGGACTGGGCATGGAAGGGCTGTCCAAGAGACACAGTGGGCATGTGCACAGTTAAGTCTTCAGACTCCAAACCCATCTGTGTGTTCTGATGCTTGAGGGCCTGGAGTGTTGGCATTGAGCCCGACCTGGAATCACAATGTCTATTCAAACAGACGCCCCTCAGCATCCATGTGACCTAAAGCTTTATAGGGACTGGGTCAGGACTCTGCAATGTGTAGAGAGTGCCACTGAAACTCGGCACTTACTCTTTCTAGTGAAAGGACATCACCTCTTGACAAACACACCTTTCAGCCATCACCAGAACTTCATTATCCCCAAAGATGTCACTGTAGATGTTGGTGATGGAAAATACACCCACCAATGTGTATCCATCATTGTTGTGTAAACACTAGTGGAACGAACGTTTCTTCTCCAACGAGAAAATGGCACAACAAGGTCAATGTGATTTATCTGTTTTATTTTCCTATGTTTCAGTAAAAGATTCAGAGAACTGATGGACACATATTACGAGCTACCTCCTGCCCACATACAGTATATGTACACTGCTTCTACTTTTTCCCTGAACAAAGTGATGCTATCTTTGTTCAAACCAAGGTACAAAGTGATACTGTAAACGAAAAACAAAGAGGTGGGTGGGTAGGTGTGGTCTTTGCTTTTCAGACAGTAAATGTATATGTATCACCATAGGGGAAAACACCGAGGGAACATTTGCATCCCACAGGTTAAAAAGTCAAGCAATAGGTACCCCCAGAGCACTTCCCAAACTAGCCACTTTGGGAAAATGGACCGTTACCTTGAAGGAAGTTCCTAGTCTTTCATTTTTCTGCCATCATGTAGCTGTACTAGAATTTAAGTCCTTTTCATAGTGCAAATACAAAAATGATCAAAGTCAGGGTTTTAGGGCTATCATTTGATAAAATATATTTTAATATACATGCTCTAAAAGTACAAAAAGGTACTTTAGCGCTGTTAAAAGAATTTACTTTTTACATATACAATAGTGTACACCCAACTCAAAGTATATTTGAGATAAGTTACTATTCTGACCCCAAATATTTCTAGCTTAATATTTTATTGTCATAGTGATTTTCCAATCATCGGTGATACTCTCCTCAACTATCACTCTGCACTGCAGTGCCTCAGCAGCCACCTTATAGAAAATGCAAGGGAACTGTGCACCTCCAAAGAGTTTTATTGTGCAAATCTCTATCAATGTAGGTTCCTATTATAAATTTTTTATTTGATTTTACAACATTGATATGCTACATTCCTGTCTGATCAACATTTTTGGAGCTTTTGTGAGGCAAATAATGAGAAATGCTAAAAATTAACTGGTAGGTAGCCTGATTTTAAAAGGGATCATTTTGTCTTATAACATTTCCATTGCCAATTCTAGGTTTTTATGGAATAGGGTGAAATAACGCTAACTGAATACATCCAGTTGTGAAGCAACTGAATGCCAAGCTGAGAAACCAGACGCTTGGTTCTGAGTTCAGCTGCACCCAGGACAGCCGTGCAGTGCGCGTGATGAAGCTGCCCCTTTAAGAGACATCCTAGGGCTATCGGTACTGGGACCCAAGCATATCTACCCTCTTTGATTGTGGGTACAGAACAGGAATATAAAATAATTGAAGCTTGTTTTGATTTAAACAAAAATATTTCCTCTTTTCATTAGTAAAACATTCTTTAAAATATATCTATTATTCCTCTCCGAACATTTAGCCAAGGAGCAAATAGGCAATTTTATTGCTGCCTCTTCAATACAGTAAGTATGGTTATAAAAAGCACACAGCAACATGAGCTTATTTACATTCACTGGTAAGAAACTTGTCCTCGTCCATCAGACAAAGGTTTGACATTTGTGTGCTTTTTGTTCTCGGTGGGAAATCACTTCTGCTTGATTTTCATTCTTGGAAGAAGAATATTGTCAGCTGATGTCCTCGGGTTTTATGACATGATGTGAGAAAGGAAAGGGACAGAGATGAGCTCTCCCATGATGTCAGTCAGGGTCTGGGCCTCCAGGCAGATCTTCAAGCTTCCAGCTGCATGGGAGCCGGGACACACAGCCTTATCCACGGACGGGTCACTCTCGCTCAGCAGGGCACCCCCTCTCTGCTTCAGCCACCACCCGTGCTCTCTACCCTACGTACTCATCTTTTGTGCTCATGGCCACAGAACTTTAAGAAACCAGTTCACAGGGAAACAAGGAAAAGCAGAGAACTGGACCCAAAGTGTCACGTGTCCCTGTCCTACGCAGTCTCCTGAGCGCTTGTCCTCCGTGGAGGCTGCACACATGTTCTTCAGAGCAGAACTCTCCTTTGTTTCTCTTCAAAGGCTTTTGCGAAGTCAGGTTTTTTCCAAACAACTTTATCAGAAGTAGAGTCTGATGTCAGCCAATAAAGATAGAAATTTCAGCCTCCCTCTCTTGAATTTCAAACCTACCTAAAAGTGGAATGTTTTCCCCCGGCAAATGATTGCTTACTTACTTTCCTTTTGTTTTGGATCCAACTCAGCCCTCAGAAAATACTTCAAACCCAAAGAGGAGGAAGTGCAGGAGCACGAACTTCCTATAGTGAGCTTCCAGGGAACATTCTGCTAAAATCCGGAGCAGCTCCAAGTGCAAAAGTAAATATTTGTGCAAAGGGCACACATTCAGGTGCAATCTTAAGACATCCTCAATGGACTCATTTGATAATATTTGACTCTTTAAAAACAGTCTTTTAAATTATGAACATGGCAAGTAAGGGAAAGGAAGTTAACATCAGAAAATACACTTTAGAAAAAAGTACAGAATACTCTGGTGATCTGCTACTTATTTCATAACTTAGATCAAGTAGGTAAGTGTGTGTTAAATATTCACAGTAATTCAGAGAAGAAACACTTGTGCCTGTAAATCTTCATTCTAGTGCATTTTCAACCATTTTTCTGTACATTTACAAAATTTCGCCTGTCAGTGCTTTTCTGTAGAATTCCTTATTGTCGACTCAGTCCTTCCCTCTCCGGGTCCGGTTATACCTTCAAGGTGGGCTGCAGGATCCCTTTCTCAATGAGGTGCATCTTCAGGGTTTTGTATATATTTAACTGCTGTTCCGGCTGAAGCACCAACAACTGCTGCAGCACTTTGCTGGGATTCGGGCCCCTGGTAACAAAGCAGAAAGGAGAGATCTTGCTATTGTAAGAGAGCTAAAGGAAGCATATGCCCCCAGTTTAAATGTTGCCTTTCCGTGCAGAGCAGTGATCTTTACAGAACTGAAACAGCTCCTGATCAGAGCATACTCTAATGCCCGGTGTTAGTGCTAACAGTAAAAACAACACAAAAACAAACAAAAACCTCAAATGATTTTTTTTGCTAAGAGGCGTGCAGTCTCCACATGGCAGGAATGCACAAACACCAAACCCAGCCTTGGTCCTGGGCAGTACATGGGGTACAGATCTGAACTCGACAAAATTCTCCGAAGGGCAACCTGTGTTAAAGGTGGGGATAGGAGACAGATCCTGAGATTGGACAAAACACACACAAAAAAGATCCTGTAAGGAAAGGAGCAAAACTCCTGGTGGGAAAGGACATGAAAACAGTGTTTCGCTTGTTAGCGTCAAAGAAATGTCCAACAATGGAAGGCATTTTGTGGAGAACCGCCCAGGGAACCATGAATGTTCAGGAGGCCGGACTCAAAGGGTCTGAGCCCAGAACTGAATTCCCATCTGCCGCGGGGCCACAGCCTTTGTCCAAGGGAAGTCTGAGGGCCCCAGGCTGAGGAACAGATGAAGCGGATCTGCTCCAGCTGAAGGGAGGGGAGCCCTGCCTCCTCACCCATAGCCCTGGCTGTCCCAGGGGGAGGGTGTGAGCTCAGGGTGAAGGGAAGCAGCGAGGGCCAGTGACACTGCAGGCACAGGGGCCTCTCAGCACCGCCCTTTGGGCAGCTCCACCAGCACCCCCGCTGTAGCCCTTCTCACCCCCCTTACCCCATGGGCTGGTCGGAACGCTCCAGACCAGGATGCTGTCCTCACACTGTGCTGCCGTGACTCAGTCAGGGGACTGCAGTCTCCCCTCCTGGGCTCTAGAACTTATCCACCCCCCTTGTACACCAGGGGCCACTTATATGATCTTCTAAAGTGCTAATCTATCAAGTTCCGAGTGAACCTAATTCAGATGGTAATGCAGATGTACCGTTTTGTCATTTCTGCAGAACCACTTGAATGGCAGAGTATGGTTTACTTTTTTTTGAAGAGCAGTGAGTAAATTCCAATGGGAAAAAGACATAATACAAGGAGAATGGTAACCAGAGAGACATTTACACGCGTAATTAAATTTAGAATTTATAATAAGGACTGTCCACTTCAAATGGAATTATAGGAAGTAGAAATGCTCAGATTCAGCCATCTTATGGATCCCTTTCATGAACATGCCAAAAACTGCAGCCATAATTCTACAGCCACAGTCTCCCCGAGTCAGGGCACAGCTTGTCTTAGATTTCTTCCAAAGATTCAGCAACAGCGCTCATTTTGGCAGCACATATACTAAAAGATTAAGCAACTTGATAACAGAAACCCAGAGGAGAGCCCACAGAGAAAAGGAAGGCTTTTCCAGCAAGCTCAGCTAAATGCAAAACTGCCAGCAGGTGCTCGGCCTGCTGCACCCTGGCACCGGCATGGTGTTCCCGCAGCAAGTATTTCAGGTGGCAAACAACGAGAAAGGCACATTTGAAAAAAATCTGAGGTATGAGTTGATGCCCTAAATGCTGCCATCTGCTGCAAAGATAGAGTTCTGAGGGCCTAGCCACTAATTACTAATTTTCAGCTCTATCAGTAAATGAATTACACAAATAGATTGAATATTCCAAATAAAAATACAAAGGTTGTCTACTGGGTTATAAATAACAAAAACAAAATCCAGCCATATGCTTGTTGGAAGAGAAAAGAAGCCCTGACTTGCGTGGGTCACTGGTTAGAGTGTCTGGCTGTTTACCAAGGGTCTCAGGTTTGATCCCCGGTCAAGGGCACGTGCCTGGGTTGCAGGTTCCATCTCTGGCCCTGGTATGGGAGGAAGCCAGTTAATGTGTCTCCCTCCCTCCCTCCCTCCCTCCCTCCCTCCCTCCCTCCCTCCCTCCCTCCCTCCCTCCCTCTCTCTCTCTCTCTCTCTCTCCCTCTCTCCCTCTCTCCCTCCCTCCCTCCCTCCCTCTCTCCCTCCCTCCCTCCCTCCCTCCCTCTCTCTCTCTCTCTCTCTCTCTCCCTCTCTCCCTCCCTTTCTCTCTCTCTCTCTCTCTCACACACACACTCTCCCTCGCTCTCGCTCTTTTTTTTTAAGAGAGAGAAAAGGAAAACACACTTTTACTAAAAGGATAGAGGAATGCTAAAAGTAAAAGGAGGAACAAAGAATTCTGTGCAAATACTAACCAAAATAAGGCTGATGTAGCTATTCTAATACCCAACAAAATAGGCTTTAAGCAAGTAGTACATAAAGATGGGCAGTATATAACAGTATATAATGACATTAGGAGTGATTTAACAGGGATATATGATAGCTCTAAATGTGTATATACTTAATACAACCTCAAAATATATAAAGCAACAAATGACTGAATTAAAAATAGCATTAGGGAGAAGATTCAGGCGCCTGCCACGTTGCAGGGGGGGGGAGGGGGGTGTGACAATTATGTGAGACCATAATCAATCAATCAATCAATCAATAAATAAAAAAGCATTAGGTAAATTTACAATCATAGCCAGAGATTTTGACAAGAAATTTGTAACTGCTAGAATAAGTGGACAGGGAAAAAAAATCAGTATAGAAGATTTAGCTAAACTTCACCCAAATGCCATATATAACATGCCCACCAGAAACTGCAGAAGGCGCATTCGCTTGTGTGCACATGGGACGTGTACCTGAATAGACAATACACTGAGGCATAAAGCAAGTCTCAACAATTATTAAATACTGAGATAATAAACAGTATGTTTTCTGACCACAGAGGAATTAAAACAAAATCAATAAAGAAAGGAGAAGGGGAAAATCTTCATTTGTTTGGAAATGAATCAGTACACTTATAAATAATCCACTGGTCAGACTAGAAGGCTGAAAATCAATAATGTAAGCTTTATCTCAAGAGCTTAAGAATAGCAAATTGAACCTAAAGAAAGATGAAGGATGAGAATGGACAGCAATGAAATAGAAAAAACTATAAAGTTAACAATGCCAGAATTTGATTCTTTGAAAAGATGAATGAGGTAGATAAACTAACAAGACTATTGAAGAAAAATATAAACTCCTAATAAGATAACACAAGAAAAATAAGTGTTAATACAAAAATTCTCATGCTGTTATGAGTATGTATTTAAAATGGGTATATATTTAGGGACCTATAAATATGAGTTTCAACTTCAAATAACTCTCTGAAGGAAACACGTTTTCTGCTTCCATACCCCCAAATGGGCCTTTTGGGGGCAGACCCAAAACATTAAGGTTTAAAAACAAGAATAAGCCACCCTAAATAAAACAGCAACGCCCTCCACTCACCCCACCCCACACAACCCGATCCCCTGGCACGTTTTATTTTTCTCTGTGGAACTTATAACCACCTAAACAAGCTATATTTACTTGTTTAGTGTCTGCTTGTCCCCTTTTCCCTCCAACTCCCCAGTGAGAATGCAAGCTCTGAAGCATGTATTTGGTTTGTTTTCTTCTCAGCTATATTCGTACCAAGAACATTTCCCAATATGTAACAGGCCCTCAGGCAATAATGGGTGAACTCGATGTACTATTATGGCCTCCGTTTTAACTCTTTGTATTCACTATCATTGCCTTACCCACAACCAAGAAATTAAATCTCTGATGTTCCAATCCAGTACCATCCATACTGAGTGGATTTTAACTTGGCCCTTTAAAGACCACAATAGGTACCGTTGTTTATGTCAGTTCAAATCTACATATAATACAATGATGTAATGTAAGCACACTGCTCAGGGGTACGTGTGACACAGCTCCAGGGGCCGCCATGCCCTCTGATATGATAGGTTACCACCAACAGCAAAGCAACTCGTTCAAACCAATGCTTATGGAAATGAGAACTTCAAGAAACCAAGTGTGAAAACATTTTTTAAAATCTAAAAGTACCTTATAAAACTTGTGATGTAGACATGCACAAACGTTGCCATCAGGTACTGACAATCAAATCTGTCCATTATCCCGCCATGTCCAGGAATGGTGTTTGCAAAATCCTACCAAAACAAACCGACAGATTAGCCAATTAAAAAAAAAATTGTTATAAAAGATGTTTCTGGAATCATGGACACTAGGGAAAATACTATTAGATTGTCACGCCAAATACAAACTTAGACCATGTGCAGCAGATCAAAACCACATCTTTGGCATCTGTACCCATGTTAGAACATTACTGAACTGACCAGCAATATTAAAATAATGCTCATTAAATATTAATACTAGCACTAACTTTTTTTAGTTAAGAAAACTTTTTCCAAATCTAAAGAGCTATCAGCTATTACTAGTCTAATATTTTTACAGACTACACTTTTCTGATTAAGCAAAACTATTTTGGGAGCTATTTTAGTATTGCTGACAGATGTACATCTGATTTTAACTCATATTTATCCTAATGGTTCTTACTCTGAAATAAACATTTACTATTATAATAAATATTTCTTCTAAGAGTTGGAGTAAAAAGAACATAAAAGAGATGGGACACATCAGTCAATTGAATTGAGGGTTTGGTTAGTAAGCCTCTGCAAATTGGCTGGACAGATATATCCATATCTCTCAGGGCCTGGGAAATAGCAATGACTAATTCCTCTTCTCATTCACTGGGGCAACCTATAAGCATCTAAAATGCAGCAGCAATTACAGCATTTTGGACAGGAAAACATTCTCAGCAGTCAACAGGAAACCCTGGGTTGGAGACTATTAAAGAAAATGCCATTCCAAATATAACACGTCTCTGTGTAAAACAAATCCTTGGTTAATTTTTGCCAACACGTGTCCTTCCTTCTCTTCCCTACTAACTGCAGCCCAAGACAGCCACAGTAACTAATTGGACAACATCTCTCCCACTTTTGTATTGCGTCCCACTTAACATACCGTCTGCCCCATCGCAGATCCTCACCCAGTCCCTCACTCCCCTGGCCTTTGGGGCCCTCCCTGATCTGACTCCATCAGCCTCTGCAGCTGGACTGGCCACCCCCCTCACCCCCCCCACTCAAACAGGCTAAGCTCCTCCCTCCGGTGCACTCACTGGGGCTCTCTTCCTCAGTTGTCTCTGCAGGCCTCCTCTTCCTCTTCTCAGATTCCTGCTCAAATGCCACCCCCTCAGAGAGGCCTGCCCTCTCTCACTTCTAAAGGCACAATGTTCCCTCTGAGCTTGGTGAAGCCATGGGAGGAGAGCTGAGAGGAGAGGGCAAGTGTGCAGGGTGTTCCCAAAAATGTGTACACACTTGGAATGGTTATTAATTCCAATGGGCTAAGTTGAAAAGAAGCAGCAGCATCAATTGAGCTAATCAGCTGTTAACTGGGGGTACCTTTTTGGGGGACACCCTGTGTGTCACTCCCTAAGAATCTAACGTAAAACATAGGGATGACGTTAAGTATCTGGGACAGGGGCCAGCAAACTATGTCCCACAGACCAAATCCAGCCACTGTTTTTGTATTATTAACTTGATTTATAAAATAAACAACATGCCCACTCATGGACACATTGTTTGCCAGGCTTTCCCACAGCGATGGCCGAGGCTAGAGGTGAGTGGTTAGGGTGTGGTTAATGACCAAGGGATTTTACGGAAGTTAGCTGACCCCTGGTCGAGCAGAATGGACATTTACATATTCCGAGTCTGCTCTGTCTGTCCCTGAAGTGAGACTGTAGCAGGACACTCATCTTTAGATGATTCGTGCCCAATTCTTGGCCGAGAGCCTGAAGGACCAAGGTTCTGTATTGTCCCCAATTAAGTAACACATGCCGTTTCTATAAGAGAGGCTGACATGACATGGCTGGACCAAAACCTGACAAGGAAGAATACGCTCAAACCAACGAGGAAGCATTCCTGTGAGGCCTGAAACCAATAGTTTTTGCTGCAAGGCTTAATGGATGAGACCCTTAGAGGACTGAACTTCAGCTCTATTACGTTTTCCAATATTATAACAAAGAACCTAAACACACACCTTGATTTTGAAAGCTCTTTTGAATCCGCTGGCAAAGAAGCCTCCAAAGGGGCCAATCAGAGATGCAAACGTTGACAGAGCAATGCTGTGGATCTGGAAAGGGTACAAGTTCACTCTCTCCTGCGGAGGAAAACAAGAGGGAGGGGTGAGGCATTAAAATTGGATTTGAGCACACCACCTAAACTAAAAATATGACCTAATCATAAGTCAAAACATGTAACATTTTTGCTAATTTCAGGCTCACGGAAGAAAAATACATTGCAAGCTCTCCTTATCCATCTTCTCCTAGCCGCACTCTCGTGTCCTCTGCATGCCACTGACAGTGCCTGGCACACCAAAACCTTGCAACCAACAGGCAACTTTCTAAACACTTGAGCAGTAGACTCAGCAAGAATCAGCTGAGTTAATTTCGGAATTTGTTTTTTACCTGCAGTATACTTTGTTTTTGTAATTATATATTATTTTAAATTTTGAATTTTATTTCACTTAAAGTGAAATAAAGTTAATATGACAGAATGAGGGTAGGGCTGGCCTATTAATAGTAAACTAAATGTCAAGGAAACACATGAAAATAATTTGCTTTTAAAAAATATACCAAAATGTGCATCAGCAAGATGTTTATAAAAGATCTACTGAGATCATAAAAATTGAGAAATCTGCAAATTGTTTCATTAGTTATAAGTTCTTGCTCCTCATTTTTTTTTTTCTTTCTTTCTCTGCTTTAAATAAACTAAAGCTACAGACTACGGACAGTGCAGAGCCGGCCGGTATGGTTTAACAACCATCATTGAGAGCACCAATCTTAATCAAAGATTGGCAGTATCAAATCTTTGCAGATAACAGATGGCTCGGACACTGGAAAAACTCTTGGAATCTACGTATTGAGCACTCATGAGAGAAATAAATTATTCTCTAAAGTTATGGACTTTAGTTAAAAATAAAATGGTTCAGATACGTGCATGTACATATGTGTAGACACACAACACACAATTATTTGAATCCTCAGTTTAAGTAACCGCCCCCGGTCTTGATGGCACACACCAGCAGGTTCTGCTGGACAGCATGGCACAGCCTGCGGTGTAAGACCTCGGGTTTCTTTAAATGGCAGGAGTGCACTTCCGGAAGGGAAACTGGTTTTTGGAAGCAGCAGTTTTCTCTGCTAGTAAAGCTCCCCTGAAAAACCAAGAAAACTGCGAGCTGGTAAATTTTAATTAATTTTTAAATTTAGGCAATTCATGCCCTAGCTGGTTTGGCTCAGTGGATAGAGCATCGACCTGTAGACTGAAAGGTCCAGGTAAGGGCACACACCCAGGTTGTGGGCTCAATCCCCAGTAGGGGGCATGCCGGAGGCAGCTGATCAAAGATTCTCTCTCATCATTGATGTTTCTATCTCCCTCTCCTTTCCTCTCTGAAATCAATAAAAATATATTTTTATAAAATGTAGCCAATTCATTGCCAATTACATGTTGTAACTTATTGTAACTCATCCAATTTTCAGAAATCTATGGAATATTTTTAAATGTTTCAAAACAAATACAAGATGAAGTATAGCATCAGTATTCAAACCATTCGGCAAGTAAACCCCTAATAAACAACAGGTTTATGACAGTAATGTTCATTTTATGTTCAAGAAAGGGAAATTACAAGGGGCTAGAACACATTATTGGCGCTAAGCAGACAGTGAAACCACGGCTGTATCATAGAAATCAACCTCTGTAGAAATCAATGTCTTGTAAAAATCTTACCCTTTGGGAGAGAGGACCTTACCCACATTTATCTTACCCGTCTCAGCACGGCCTTCAGGAAGGGAGGAAGGGAGTAACTCTGAAGCTGGAAAAGTTCTGAGGGCTCACATTCCGTAACGAAGGAGTTGACATCACTTCGGTATTCCACTGGACAGACAAAGTACTGGTACTTGGATAACACATAGGCAGCCTGAATAACGAAGCAGGAGTTCATGAAACACTGTGTGTGTGTGTGTGTGTGTGTGTGTGTGTGTGGTGTGTGTGTCAGCAGAACAGCCAGAGTAGAATGCCAAAGTTTCTTTGTATTCACATTCTGCTATGTATTCTCAAAGCTTGATGGTCAAAACTGAACCAATAAAAGACTTTGAAAAGCCACTGGAAAACCGAAGGCCTTTTGGAAATCTATGAGATTATATCTATGTGACCACAATAAAAACAAGGAAGAGGAAGGAGAAAAAGAAGCTGATTTAAACATTCAAACAAGCATTTCAACAAGGTTTTACTTTTCTAAAGTACATATAATTAATGTTAGCAGAAGCACTAGGCATGGGAGAGTACAGAACTGAAGTTCTTTGCATAAATGTTATATAAATTTCATCAATTAATAAATAACCAGTGATTTAAAACTAAAAAAAAATAAATAAATGAAAAACACCATTGTTAACCAACCCTGAAAACTTAACTATCCTTCCCTTGATCACAGCACTGTAATTTTTAATATAGCTTTTCTCAGCCATGAAAGAAGATACATAAAACAAAATATTTTAAATTGAAATTGTTAGACAACAGTTTATTCTCTTTGCTTCTGCAGCCATTCACCCCATTATTCTGCTCAAGACTGATTAAGGGAAATGCAAATTGACACTAGGAATGTTAATAAACTGATTTTGCTTCTAACCAGCTTCCTCAAAATTATGTTAGAAAATATATAATGTCCCTCCTCATTACTTTTGCCATGCATTACATTCTTACAGGATAGCTGTTTGTTTTCTTCCAATGATATGGCTATTCTTGTACTATTTCTAAATTAGTCTTTAATAATACCAAATTCTTATAGTACTATTTAAATTAATAATCCCTGCTGTGTCATGTATAAACATCAGAAGGGATCAGTTCCCTTTTTACCATTTTGTTTATGAGTTACTGTCTCCTCAGGACTCTACAGTATGTAGCGTAGTCAACGCAAATACTGACTGGGTCAGCTTTGCCAGATCCTATGGGAATTTTCATCGAGGATGAACGAAACGTGCAGATTGAACAGAGGAATGCTTTTCCCAGCCAGGAGCCTGATACTTCTCACTTATTTGTACATTTGCTGTCTCTCATGCTGTTTCCAGTCACTGTATACTTGGCTGTGGAATGTATTCTAGAATTGTTAGGGACTACACTTTAAAAAATTAAACTTCCTATTTTTTAATATATTTACTTTATATCCAGCCACTTTACTTTTTACAATATCTTTATTGCTTCTTATGAGATACCTCTTAATTTAAAAAAAAAACAAAAACCTACATTCCATAACTATAAGGTAATTTTTAAAACATTAACAAGAACCATTATTCATGGTTAAAAGTAAACACAATTATCTTTAACAACCTTTTCCTGCATGTGGCAGTAAGCGCTTGCTAAGCCAAATAGCATCATGTATAAGGGAGGCAGGGCTCTTCAACACCATTTGTATTTTCTGCTTTTACTCAAGGCCACCACCTGTCCCAGCACCTGTGTCCCCAGCAGCTGTTTGAAAACTGCCAAACACGGCAGAGGGCCTCCAGGCCTCAGCGAACCCCAGCGGGGCGCTGGCCTGGTGTGGGGCTGGGACCGCTATGTTGAATAAACTCCTCAGGAGATTCCGATATGAAACCAGGAGGAGAGCTACTGGGGTACAGAATAGATTCTGCTTAGTGGGCTTCAATAACTACAGTATTAGCATTTTATGGTTTAATTCTCTTAGGTTTAGGATAGACTGATACACTTGCTACCATTTTTCAAAACAGAAGTAAAATAAAAATCTTAGTAAAACTTACAATGAATCCAAACACGACTGTGGAGAAGAAACCGCCAATAAATCCTTCCCAAGTCTTTTTAGGAGATAGCTAGAAAAGGCCAAATAGAATAAAATAAGAGTTGTGTACCCCCAAAACACACAACACAGATGCAAGCTCTGCTGGATGAATTCCCATACATCTCTCCTTGGAGTGGCTTTGCCACCCTTTCCCCTTCATTCTAGGATCCCAATTTACTTGTGTGGATTTCTCTGATATATGTAACACATATTGGGCCCTCAAACTTTGGACACACTCCAAAAATAGGTAGGCATAACTAAACACTCCCTCCCTCCCTCCCTCCCTCCCTCCCTCCCTCCCTCCCTCCCTCCCCCCCCCCCTCTCTCTCTCTCTCTCTCTCTCTCTCTCTCTCTCTCTCTCTCTCTCTCTCTCTCTCTCTCTCTCTCTCCCCCGTCACAACCTATGTCTGTCTCCATGAAGAAAGGACCGTGCTGGGCTTCTGAGAACAGATACCGTTTGTTTCAGGTCAGAGCTGCCGTTCCCCAGTCCCTGGGGCGCTCAGGGAGAGGAATGTGGAGGACGGTCTGGAAGTGGGTGGTGCAGGAGGGGAGGCTCGGGGTGGGGGGGGCGGGGGGGGGCCCCCCCCGCACTGACTGCCTGAGCTGCCCTGCAAAGGCAGGACTGATGTCAGGGGAGCTGTCATCAGGTCACTGACGGCTTCTGTGATGACCCTTTCAGTGGGAATACAGGGACAGGAGACAATAAATATCCCAGGGAAGCTGAAACCGGTTTAGCTCAGTGGATAAAGCGTCGGCCTGCGGACTGAAGGGTGCCGGGTTCTAATCCGGTCAAGGGCATGTACCTTGGTTGCGGGCACATCCCCAGTAGGGGGTGTGCAAGAGGCAGCTGGTCGATATTTCTCTCATCGATCTTTCTAGCTCTCTGTCCCTCTCCCTTCCTCTCTGTAGGGAAGCTTCTGCAGATGGAAACGGGAGACAGCTAGGCCACACACATTGTCTACAGGCCCCCGGTGGTGATGTGCAAAAAGCTCAAAGCCAAGAGGGTTGGCAGAAATAACTGGTTTCTTGACATATCTGACAATTCTGCTGTAGCGAAGGGACAGATGTATACCTTGTCTGAGGATAATTCAGTATTATCATCATGAAGTGGGAGCTGACTCAAATTCAAAAGTGTCTGCTGATGAGTTCAAAGAATAACTGAATTGTTCCACAGCATACTGACTTAGGGGTAAATTTACTTAATTACATCTGCATACATTATGCAACTAATCCAGCCCAGGACGCTCACTAGAACTCTGTTCTAAGTCAGACAGTGAATCTTCTGCAGCCGAACAGCCTCTCTGAAGACTTCCTCAGCCCAACACGTCTAGCTGTCCAGGAGCCTAGAACACGCAATGGCTTGCTCGTGTGCTGAGCAGCTTTAGAGGGAAATGCATGGCTTGCTTGTATCCCTACGGCTCAGCCTGACACCCTGTGCTGGGCTGCTGCTCTGCAGGAGAGAATTTATGGAAGGGTCTAAAAGGCCATGGCTTGCTCTTCCATAAAGAACTGGTTTGCTTCTTTCTTCCTCAAAATGGGAACTTATAACTCAATTCATTTCCTTCTTTGCCTCCACTGACTGTAAAAAGTAGCAACTCAAAGGCAAAACAATACGGTCTGCTCACATGTCCTTCCTTCCCTTATTTTAACCTTTCCTCGTTATTGTAGGGCCTCAATTTTTTTTTTTTTGTTTTTTTTTGGTTTGGGTGTATAAGTCTTCCAATGGACATGGGTATGTGAAGATGGTGTCATGAACGCTTTCAAAGAGTTTGGTGAAGGAGGGGCAGGTGAGACAGCGGGGTGGGCACAGAGGCAAGGAGACCCACACCCTTGAGGGAAGGAGCCAGCAGAAAGGGGAAGTGAGCCTTCCTGGGAGAAAGGATAGCTGACAGGACAGTTAAAGAACCAGACAGCACCCTCGGGAAACATGCTCACTGCCCTGAGTGCAGCCAAGGAGGATCGAAGCCCCTTGGAAATAATTTTAAAAAAGATAAAAAAGAAAAAGAAACAAAAAATGGGCAACAGCACTAAGTCTCCAGTGGCGAATCTTTAAGGTCAGGGTAGTAGCTTGTGGTATTTTGTAATTACCTTAATTAATGGAGTTCTCCCAAAAAAAAATCCAAAAAGGTAAGCAGTTATGTCATTGCAGATAACACTTGATATTGGAACAAGGAACCTTAAAAAAAAAAAAGTCAGCAAAAACAAGTTCGTGTGATTAAGTGACAGGTATTTTTATACAGCTTATGACTCATAATGAGTCAATATAATAACTCTTTGAATTACACTTCAGAGTAAACTAGAACAGAACACTTGCCAAAACATTATTAGTAACATTAAATATCAACCACATTTGCCTGCTTAGCAATTAAGCAGAGCAAAATCTATACGTAAATTAACATAATGGGAAAACATTGCTAAGGAATATACTAAATAATTTAATTTTAATATTAAATAATGAATTTCTATAGCTGTGGACTTTCAAATTTCATTTTTATGATGAACAAATTATAGCAGTATAAAGAATTTTAAAAAATATTTTCAGAGAGGAAGGGAGAGGAGAAAGAAATAGCCATGAGAAACAGTTTTTAAAAAGCAAAATGAAAAAGAGTCATTTGGTTTAGATAGAGTATAATCTGATAAATTTATACCAAGCTCTTAATAAAAATCATCTTTCAGAAAAAATTATCAAGTTTAATTCTATCTTAGCCTAAAATTGCATTAAACCCTACTAATTATACAGAACCTATTAATTTCCTAACTTACTCCAGCAATTAAAAGTTTGTATATGGAAGACAATCTTAAAATGATTCTAATTATACATAAATAACACCAACCCCTTGGCTAAAAATCACAAAACTGTCATTGGGAATAATTTATTTTCACAAAACTTCCTGTAAAGGACTTTAATTAATGAGTGCTTTTTTAAACGTGGAGAAATTATGGTCAGATTTCTTAAAATCTTTTTTTCTCCACTCTAATTTTTAACTAATGATTTTCATAATTTTAAACTAATACAATTTTATTTTTATTAATTTATTTTTGAAAAATATTTGTTGAAAGTATTACAAATAACCCCATCTCCCCTCCCCCATTGAAATTAATTTTTAATTTACAAAAATGCTTTCTGAATGGGCAAGCCACTGCTACATAGTGAGTAATTTCACACATCTGAAATCTGAACCCCTGCTCCCATACACAGGCAGAGTGGAACAAACCACTTTCACTAGAGGAAATGCTTTGCCAGCACAATGCTGGCAAGCAAACTTTCATGTTCTTTCTGCATCCCATGTAAATAATATGCTCTTTTTACGAGCGATGCTTTGGCCCTGACCGTTTTTGGCTCAGTGGATAGAGCATCGGCCTGCGGACTGAAGGATTCCAGTCAAGGGCATGTACCTTGGTTGCAGGCACATCCCCAGTAGGGGGTGTGCAGGAGGCAGCTGATCAATGTTTCTAACTATCCCTCTCCCTTCCTCTCTGTAAAAAAAAAAAAAAAAAAAAAAAAAATCAATAAAATATATTTTAAAAGAGTGATGCTTTGTAAAAAGTCACATTCAAATGTAGCGAAGCCTGAAAGTGTAATTAACTATTTGAAACTTTTATTTTATTTTATTTGAAGCCTGAATAAGGCATATGCCCAGCTAACACGTTTGTCTTCAAGTGTCAAGTGATAAATCAACAGAACTCAGTAAGGTAATTTAATGGAATAGAGCAACAACAAATAGCACATTTTAGTAGAAGTTTGTGAGACACTGTTCAATGTGAAAATGCTTTAAAAAATGCTATGACATAAGTATAAAGCAGCATAATTCTAAGCCCTTACCATATCATGCCTTCAAACAGATTTTGGATGACAAGATGTGACTGAGTAACTGTTATCAGTAAAGTGACATGAGTCCATGCGAACTGTTAATAAGCCCAACAACACAACAGTTAGTGAACACAACTGATCAGTGCAGCCAGGAAGCAGGAGTAACTCTGAAAAACACATTCCTAGCATGGTTTTTGGTTAAAGTTTGTAAGATAAGGTTATACAAAATAAATGTTGTTAGCGAATTATATTCATTTTGGTGCCTACTGGAACCTTAAAACCATGAAAACATTTTTAAAAAGTAATCTCAACTTATATACAGATGGGTTGCTTATCATACTGAGCTAAACTTACAACCATATAAAAAATAAACCATAGGGCCGAAACCAGTTTGGCTCAGTGGGTAGAGTGTTGGCCTGTGGACTGAAAGGTCCCAGGTTTGATTCCGGTCAAGGGCATGTACCTTGGTTGTGGGCACATCCCCAGTGCGGGGCGTGCAGGAGGCAGCTAATCGATGTTTCTAAGTCTTTATCCCTCTCTCTTCCTCTCTTTAAAAAAAACCACAATAATAATAATAATAATAATAATAATAAAAAGCCCTAACTGGTTTGGCTCAGTAGATAGAGCATTGGCCTGTGGACTGAAAGGTGACAGGTTCAATTCCAGTCAAGGGCATGTACCTTGGTTGCAGGCACATCCCCAGTAGGGGGTGTGCAGGAGGCAGCTGATTGATGTTTCTCTCCCATCAACATTTCTAACTCTCTACCCATCTCCATTCCTCTCTGTAAAAAAATCAATAAAATATATAAAATTAAATAAATTAAAAAAATAAACCATAGTCTCGAACCATCGGCTTACTATGATAATGAGAAATGTATGTTGTTATGACATTTAGAGAGGAACATTTTACTCTGGCTGCGTTCTGCAGTTATTAAATCTGCTAAACTCTTTTTTTTTTTTTTTCCAGAGTTCACTATGGTAACTTTTTCCCATAAAAAGTTATTTCTAAATTCAAATGATTCAAACCAGGAGAGATCAACTGCCCTTGAACTCCACCTTTCCATACTTGAAAGTTGACTATCACAGCTCTGTTCAATGGCAGGAATCCATGTCAAATTTCCAAAGGCCTCGCGTCTCAGTCCCATGCAGCCTGAGAGGTGGCTGTTAGGGACTTTTAGCATCGTCAGTATGAGTCGAATGTGAATGAAATAAAGCTCATAGTTCTAGGGTCATAATTTTGATTGGAATTTATTACCCTTCAAAATTCTTAGATTTTTATTTATTCATAATAAACTATTTTCTATTTCAGCAAATATTATATTGTTTTGTTTTATTTTTATCTGCTTAAAAGATCCAATTCTCTTTGACCCCGATTGCTTAAAAATGCATACATGATTTTTTTCCAGTAGGCACCATTTATATTTTCATAGGAGATCCTATTATTTCTAATTTGTCTTGATGGTTTCTAGATTTTTCACTGAGAATTTTCCTCTCAAGGTCTCCAGAAATTAGAAATATAAGAAATATTACAATTTCTCAACACTAATGCTCAGCAGGAGATCTTAATGGAGAAAAGCAAAGCATAAAGAATATAAAATATATCCCAAATCCAAAACAAGCCTAATACATGATTTCACATATTTAAACATTATGTTTTTCACTTTAAGTTTTATAATTAGCTACCTTTTAAGGAAATAAGAAAAGTTCATCATTCACAATGATAAATTTCAAAAACACTGAACACTGTTCAACGATAAACTAATAAAATACCTTAGGCTGAAAAGAATTATGAAATTTTATGACTAACCATAGCTACCAAGAAAATACATGCTTTGTTTCCTTCATACTCAACGAAGAGCAAGTTTCCACAGAGAAATAGGGTAAATATAGTCAGCTCCTCAGACTAACTATTCAGAAATCTATGGGAATGTTTCAAACTTCTACCAGTTTAGGGAATCCAAATACTTGGTTTTAATTTTATAGCCTTTGAGAATATTCAAAGAAAAAGTTTTTAGAAAATTTTAAAATGGTTAAAATTTTTAAATCCTCAAAAATGTTTCAACTTTAACCTTTTGTATTTAATAGTCATCCCAAAATGGAAATATCCCTCACACCTATGCCTCAAGTAGCAGATTACATTTTATCTTCTCACTTCAGAAAAAAAATAATTAAACGTAAGGGTTTCTATGATGTACAGTGACTGGAGAACAATGATTAATACATACCATGTAGAACTGCAGTCGGTAATGTTTCTTCACCAAGCTCAGCACAAACATGCAGAAACCTGCTCAAGAACAAAGACCATGTGCTTGTTGTGCAATTGGTTACAAAGCGTAAGATTCACTGAATTCAAACAAGCCTACCTTCCTCACCACACCTGTATACTCTAGCCACTTACTCATTTGGCATGTCGCCTACTCTTCTATTAAGTATTTTAAGTAAAAGTTTCCTGCTGGAAATGATCTTGTAGTCTCCAAAACACCTAATAAATTCCAATGCATAAATTCAAGAAATATCCCCTATGTTAGATAAATGAATTCGTTGCTTGCTAATAGGTGGACATGGAAAACCAGATCTTAAATTTCAGTTGAATAAAAATTAATTTGCTATGTCAGTCTACTAAGTATATATATAGAATGTTTCAATCTCTGCACAATACAAAAATTAAAAATAATTACTATGGTGGCTAACATCTGTTGAATACTTATGTTCCAGGAGCTTATCTAAGTATTTTACAAGTATTAACTCATTTAATCCCCCCAAATCCCTATGACATAGGTACCTTTTTATTTGTGTCAGTTTTATAGATGAATGGAAATACACAACAAAGGACTTCATTAATTTACTAAGTATTACTGGGCTAAAATGCATTAAACACTCAGATCTAATGATCCTCAATAATCTGTGGTTCCACAAACCATTAGCAAGACTCAGGTTAAGAGTGACTTGAAATGTCTCAGATCATATTACAATAATTACTAGAGGCCCGGTGCACAAAATTCATGGGGGGGGGGGGGGTCCTCAGCCCAACCTGCACCCTCTTGATCTGAGATTCCTTGAGGGATGTCCTACATTCCTCTCACAATCTATAACTGCTGGCTCCCAACTGCTCACCTGACTGCCTTCCTGATTGCCTCTAACCACTTCTGCCTGCCAGCTTGATCACTCCCTAAGCACTCCCCTGCCAGCCTAATTGATGCCTAACTGCTCCCCTGCCAGTGTGTTTGCCCCATACTGCCCTCCCCTTCAGGCCTGGTCACCCCTAACTGCCCTCCCCTTCAGGCCTGGTCACCCCTAACTGCCCTCCCCTGCAGGCCTGGTCATCCTTAACTGCCCTCCCCTGCAGGCTTGGAACCCCCCCCCCCCACACACACACACACACACAATTGCCCTTCCCTGCAGGCCCGGTTGCCTTCAACTTTCCTCCTCTGCTGGCCTAGTCATCCCTAACTGCCCTCCCCTGCAGGCTTGATCACCCCCAACTGCCCTCCCCTGCAGGCCTGGTCTCTCCCAACTGCCCTCCCCTGCTATCCATCTTGTGGTGGCCATCTTGTGTCCACATGAGGGCAGCCATCTTATGTGTTGGAGTGACAGTCAATTTGCATATTATTCTTTTATTAGATAGGATGGACACCTGGTGCATGGGTGGGGGCCAGCTGGTTTGGCCTGAAGGGTGTCCCTGATCAAGGTGGGGGTTCCCTTGGGGCATGGGGTGGCCTGAGCAAGAGGCCTGTGGTAGTTTACAGGCTGGCCACACTCCCTGGAGACCTAAGGGGAGGCCCTGGGATGTGGGATTTATAGCCATTTTTGTTGGGATTTATTTATCTTCTATAATTGAAACTTTGTAGCCTTAAGCAGAGGCCAAGGCAGGCCATGGCTGCAGAAACTTGGCTTCCTCCATCACCGGGGGCAACTCAAGCCTTCTGCTCTCTCCAAGGCCGCAGCCATCTTGGTTGGGTTAATTTGTATAGTCGCTTCTGATTGGTTGGTAGGTGTGGCTTTTAAGTGTAGCAGAGGTATGGTCAATTTGCATATTACTCTTTTGTTAGATAGGATAGTAAAATATATTCTCAAATAAGATTTACAAACAGCACTAGTGTTTATGTTAATAGCCTACAAATATATTACAATGAAGTTTTACTAAATAAAAATTCTACCTAAATAACTGAAATTTAACATATACCAAAATAATGGGAAGCAAATATAAACACTTTTTGCCCAACATGCCAGTAAACTTCTAAACTATAAGTATTTTTTTTACAGAGGTAGGTATTGGAAATGCATACACCAAATTTAATTTTAGATAAATAGCCATTCATGCATTCTAGTCTTTAGAGAGTGAAATCTGAGATAGAAAATAAATTATCAACTAATCTATCTTATGTGAAATAAATACTAGACTTAGTAGATCTAAGTCATATTAATCAAGGCAATTCTATACACTAGTAAGAAAGCTTGATACTATTCTGATCAGAGCCTTGAACCAAACAGCAGCTGCCTTCGGCTATATTCTGATGAGTGATTTGAAATGTCAGTGGAATACAAGGATGGTGACAAAGGAAGAGAATGAATACGGGCTCCCAGATCCCACCTCACCTCCTACTAGACACCTTCAGAGTAATCTGACTGGCTGAACTGCAAAAGAAACACAGAAACATTTTCTGTGTAGAGACACAATGGAAAGCCATGACATCCTTTTCTTGAAAGAAAGCAAGCAGGTGGGGAGGGGTTAAGACATGGAATTCGTGGCATTGAAGTAATCAGTAGTTTTAAAAGACCTCTTTAAAATGACTGCTTTTAAGCTTTTCTTCTATAGCAGGCAGATCGCTTTTGTGGCTCAGGTAATAATGCCATTTCTATGCTGTTTTATGTCGTTGGTCCATGGTGAAGGGGACAAACACAGATTGGACTTGGCTCAGAGAGAGGCTAATGGGGAATAGCAAAGCAGAGACAAGACAGATGTTAGTATGCCCTCCTTGCCTCCTTGCTCTTAGAGGTCCTGGTTCATGTCTCAGCAATGAACTTGGGGATGCATGTCCCACCCATTTTAAGACCCTGGAAGGCACCCAGTCGGCCATACCCCCCCGTCTCCTCCGCTCCATCCACAGGGCCGAGCATCTGGAAAGCACTCACATGTTTGCTGGGAGAATGACACTGACTGTCCACAAGCTCCTGGGAGTCCAAGAGCCTGAACTGCACTATTTCTCCGACAGAAATCAGTCAGAGAAAAAAGGAAGGGATGTTGGTTTTATTTGATAAAAGTTGAGCTGGAAAACAGGGTAGGAAGCAAGCAAGCACTATAAAGGCTGGCTGGGAGGCTGTGGTGTATAAAATGTAGAAAAAGAAACAATAAAGAAAACAAATTACATCTTCGTTACCACTCAATTGAGAAGTTATCCTCGAGTGTAAGAGCGAGCAAACCTCGAAGGGAAAGTAAGCCGAGGTAATAATGGTCCCCGTGCCTCCTGACATTCTGCCTAGCAGATACTGCTGTCTGCACATCAACACCAATGCTGCCGCAGGTACGGAAAACATGAGATCAATTCCGATGACCCAACATAAAGCCACCCATAAGCCACATCATGTGGGGGAAAGCAGGTATAGAATATCTGCTTGTATTAAAAAAAAAAAAGGGAGGGGCGGGGGGATGGAAGATACAAACATATAAGTGTGAACACTAAAAAAAAAGTCTGCAATCGCTGCTGTGAGCGCCCAGAGACAGTAAGGCAGAATCTGAGGCAGGAGGGGGGTTTCCCTGAATACTCCTTTTTAGTCTATACATTTCCTACGGACAGGCATCATGCTTTCACTTCTGGAAACCAGTTTAAAAACACACCTAATTAAGGACTCTTGAGACACTTGGCTTTTGGCGCACTCCGTCCCTATTCAGAACCCATCCCTGGTGCTCAGAGGCAGTCACGCCCCAGGGACAGGCCAAAAGCAGGAGCTCAAGTCAACAGCCAGCACTGACTGTGGCCCTGAGAGCCAGCCACCTCGAACGTCCAGCCAGTCGAGACTTAAGACTGGCACTGCCTCCATCTGAGGCCACCCCGGGAGAGGTCCTGTCAGAACTGCCCACTGAGGCCAGTCAGCCCCCGGAGCCGTCAGAGAAAACAGTAAATTCTTTAAAGCCAAAATAAAAAATATAAGACTAGTTAGGATTTCTATCTTAAAATGGCAACTAGACCACATGCAGTTGTTTCTATTCTGACCCAGAAGCCTAACTAAAATAAGGTTTAGGCAAAAACCCAGAGCAAGAAAACAATAAAGGAAACAAAACCCAGAGAGCAAAGAGAATGGAAGAAATGTCAAAGGAAAACAGAGGAGAAATGGCTGCAAAATTTTGGAAGCTAGAGAAGAGATTAGATCACTTTTAGCAAACCTAAGAAATCAGGGACAGCTGGTAGTATTTTTCTAGAGGAAAGTGAGCAGAAAGGCTCAGTGGAAGGCAAGAGTGAGGCCTGGGCTTCTAAACCAGAGTATTAAATAAAAGTCTATTCCTAGTAAGTGGGGGCCTTGGCCAAAGCAGTCAACTGTCTGAACAGAATAAATATGTGTGTTTTAAAATATATTTTTATTGATTTCAGAAAGGAAAAGAGAAGGAGAGATAAAAACATCAATGATGAGAATCACGGATCAGCTGCCTCCCTCATGCCCCACACTGGGGATGGAGGCTGCAGTCCAGGCATGGGCTCTGAGCAGGAGTCCAACGGTTCTAGGCTGACACTCAACCACTGAGCCATACCAGCCAGGTGAATAAAAATATTTTTAGACGTTTATCTTCTACGAACATTTCATAAGAAACTATCGAAGGCCATGCTTACAACAAAATGAGTGTGTAAACCCAGAAACTGGAGGGCATGGAAGAGAAGAAATAAGGCCAAATCATGCTGGTACACTAGGCCGACCAGCAGCCAGCCCAACGTAACACCACAGAAGTCTCTGGAACAGGGGTCTCCAGGAAAAGAGAGAACTGATATGCTACTGATTTGTGTGAACATTTGAAAAAGCTACCAACAGACATAGGACAGACCTGAAGGAAAAATTAAGGATTGCTACCTAGAATTTTACAAATGTGGAGAAAAGAAGGGGAAGCAGTTACTAAGCTCAGGAATGAAAATGTAATCATAGATGCTTTATAGAAAGTGATATTTTAGACACCTGTTTAATGATGTAAGTTCAACTATCTAAATCAATTTCTTAAAAATTTGTATATGATTGAGAAACTTCAATGGAAAATAAATCTGTAATCCTAACTTTATCCTAAGTATCAGATTCTCAATCTAAAATTAAAAAAAAAAACATGTGGCACAGCATACTATAAATAAAAACATTGTATTTATATATATTGTGACTATGTAATGAACCATGTCAGAAAAACTAAATACCCTGATTAAGTCTATATGAAAACTCTATTACCTGGAAACAAATAAAGCAATATAAGTGTGAAAGTTTCTTTGTAAATTATACCTGGTTATATCAATCCATATATTTAAAAGTTTCTTTACTACTATTTGCAAAGAAATTTCTCAAATACATAGAGTGACTATTAAATAAGTTCTTTTTAAAATCACCATTAAGATATAATTTCTATAAGACCCTAATAAAAAAAAGAATAGCTTTTTACATGGGACAATAAAAAATTTAAAAAAAGAAGCTGGATAACAATGTAACAAAGTAAGGATGCTATGAATTTAAACAACAAAAATAAAAATAAGCATGTAAAATCTGTTAGCTACATATCGATACATAATGTCTTCCTTAACTTACCGGCCAGATAGAGGGCAAATGATATAAATCTATGGTAGCGGATGAGGAACTGAAGTTGCTCTTCTCTTTGAACAAATGTAGCGAAATAATCAGCTACAGTCTCTCCATAGAAAAAGTAGTTGACACAGAGTAGAAAGTACCTGTAATTTAAAAATAATTAGCTTTTTATATTTGAAACTTTTTTGTGTCCCTCAAAATTCCAGAAACAATATTAGGAAACAATATGAAAAACACTTTCAACCTCACAATGTAGATTGTGAGAACATACTTGCAATCTCTCTCTTCCCCACTTCCCTCTCGCTCACACACACAGCTCTAATGCTTTTTATAGTGGAGATCCTAAGCCAAATTTCCACCTGCCCCGCACATGTTGGCATTTTTCTCCCTCTCCTCCACGCTCCCATTGGCTCCTGTTGAGCAGTGATTTTTAAGGGGCAGCAGTGGGGATAGGAGCTAGCAGCAGGTAAAAATCTCCAGCAGAACCTTTTAAAAATCATATAAATCATCTGTCCTTCCTCCAAGCTCTGGTATCTCTTTTCACTCAGGGGAAGGCTGAACCCATGAGGTTTTGCTAATGGGAGCCAGGACAAAAGGCTGACAAACACTGCCTTAGGTTCCTAGTGCCCGGGAGACAGAAAAGGGAAGGGGTGGCTTCCCTCTGTATCTCATGGAGGGAATTACCTCCCACTGTTTTCAAAGGACAAGTATTTTCATTTCTATCAGCTGTGCTACCGTTTTGCTATCCTCCTACATTGGAAACTGTCTTGGACTCTTCTGGAAGGCTGTCGCAGCCCAGTCTAGCCCACCGGTACATTTTGCCCACTGCTCCCCAATGGATGCCTTCTGCTCAGGAGGCCAGGAATGTCTCCACATGTGGCACATGCGTCCTCAGTCTCATACCTAGAACATGACGGGTGCCACTTCCCCACCCAGAACCTTCTTCTCAATCAGAAGCTTGTCTTCTTTAAGGGATGGCTTCTCTCCCACCTTCTCCTTGAGGCCTGCTGCAATCACTGCAGCCTATCCCGGCCTAACCTTTCTTCCTACACTTAGAATCAACCTGCCCTGGCTGGTGATGTCAGTGGTTAGAGCACTGGCCTGTGCACCAAAGGATTGCAGGTTTGACTCCCAAAGGCATGTGCCCGGGCTGTAGTTGCAGAAGGCAACCAGTCAATGTGTCTCTCTCACATCGATGTTCCTCTCTCTCTCTCTCTCTCTCTCTCTCTCTCTCTCTCTCTCTCTCTCTCTCTCTCAAAAATTAAAAAATCAATCCTGCATGGTTTTGAGTTTAATTATTCTCCAACTACTTAATCTACCTAACATCTTATGTACACTTTGTGACTACCAAAATCAAGAAACTATTTTTGACTATGCTGAACCCCGAAGGTGATACATATGTTTTAATAAGACACTGGCCTCTCTGGCTGATACAAATCAAATAACTAAGCTCAAAGGCATGGCAAGTAGGTTAATCGTGAACTATCATGGCATTATGTTTCCTGGTCAAGGTATTGATAACTAAAGATTGTCCCTGCAAAGTTTTTAAAAGCTATAAACTTTTAAATATTAAAATCATTTGGTAATCTATTTTACTAATGTTCACATGGATTTGTGCACACACGGTATTTCGTGGGCTGGTGAGTTAGCCAGCACTATTTACAAGGGCGCCTTACACACTGCCCCCATCAGAGTCTTCGGTATCCCCTACCTGCCCTTCATGTTGCATGTCATGGGGCCCCAGGCCTGGAGAGGAGACCAAACCACAGGAACAAAGGTGGGGTCACCCCTCCTCTCATGGCCTCCCTGCCTTACCCTGGGCCTATGGGGGCTATGGAGATGGTAGGGTGGGCCGGATTGCAGGCGTGAAGATGGGAGACAGACAGACATTTACTTTGGACTTTCCCCTCCTGAATCAACCATTGATCTCTCAAAAAACAAAAACAACTATTTTCACCTTTCAGTCTTTGTAGATATTTAATTCAGTCTCATGTCAACCGAGGGGGGAAAGCAAAAGATTACACATTTGTAACATTTTACAAAGGAAACTTATAATTATAAATGATATAAAATGTGTCTAATATTGAAGGGTTTTCTTAAAACAGGACAAGAATGATATATAGATTCTACAATATATAAATTAGATATCTCTACAAAGAGTGAAAAATGAGATATTATAACAGTTGTGTTTAAATGGAAGAGGTGATTTTCTTCTTTTCAAAATTCAGTTGCAGTTTTTAAATTTATCTTTCTCCAAAATTAATCTGTAAGATCAACTATATGGATACTGACTGATCAGAATGCCTCTCTTACCAACCTGAGAAAAGAGTCAGATTTTCATATCAAAAGGTTTTAGGTCACTTACCAGCTGAGTGTTCTAAACCATGGCAGGTCATAGGAACGATAGACTCTGTAACCTATAGTGATAATTTCATGGAAGCATTTCACTTGGATGCCTAGAACCTGAAATCAAGAGAAAACATTGACATACATTTAAAAATAAATTTTACTGATTAAAGTATTACATGTGTCCTTTATCCCATTAACCTTCCAATCCCCCCACTCACGCCCTCACCTCCCTGTTGTCTGTTTCTTGATGCTTATATTTAATAAGTAGCTTGTTGTCATATGTGCTCGAGCCTACCCATTTTTCAATTATTCTAAATGTCAGTAGCAAAAATTCAATATTCAACATCTCTAACTCCAGTTTAGAGGGTAAGCAAAACAAGGTTTTAAACAGAGATCCTTCTTAGGGTGGGAGGTGGCAGTGTAGTTCAATCTGAGGGATCACAAGTAACTAGATCAGGGCACGTGCCTGGCTGCGGGCTCCATCCCGTGTGGGGCATACAGGAGACAGCGGATTGATGATTCTCTCTCATCCTTTTTTTTTTTTTTTTTTTTTTTTAAATATACTTTATTTATTTTTCACAGAGAGGAAGGGAGAGGGATAGAGAGCTAGGAACATTGATGAGAGAGAATCATCGACCTGCTGCCTCCTGCACACCCCCTACTGGGGATGTGCCCACAACCAAGGTACATGTCCTTGACCGGAATCGAACCTGGGACCTTTCAGTCCGCAGGCTGACGCTCTATCCACTGAGCCAAACTGGTTTTGGCTCTCTCGTCTTTGATGTTTCGCTCCCTTCCTCTCTGAAATCAATAAAAAAAAAAATATGTTTTTTTAAAAAAGTTATTGGGCCCCCTCAGCCACATAAGAAATTATTATGCCAAACTACTATGAATAATTCTTAGGAAAAAGTCGTAAATGTGTGTTATAAAGACAAGAGGAAATTGAAATACTGTCCTTCAAGTAACCCTTCTACACCCAATGTCATTTTTAGACACACACAAAAAAATCACAGAGGGGACAATGCTAGATGTTAAGATAAAATGGCAAAGCCATGCTATTTATAGAACCAAGGGCTTTTAAAATACCAAACACACTGATGCACTGTTTAGGAACACATTTGCTCAAGAACCATTAGCATTGTATATGTGGTATTTTACTTAGAGGAAAAGAAGTATTTTTAATAGCACACACACCTTTATATGATCGCCGGTTATAGCGTGCAAGTAGATTTAATATGGAACTGCTGGGAAAAGATAAAACAGGACTCAAGCATTTGAGCTAATATCTATGTGTATCTTCCAGGGCTGGGCGACTACACAGAAACTGACTCTCCACGCCATCAATACTGGTAGCAATGCACATTGGTCGGACTCCATTGGCCCGATTAATGTGTTAAGAACCGTAAGACAACAACCTTTATGTAAATGCCTATTCTGCTGGTTACTGACATAGGACATCTATTCTCAGACAGGCATTGTCTGTCAGGGAGGACACACATAACTGCTAATACCATGTGGAAATAGTTACTGCTAATACCATGCGGAAATAGTTACATGGATATAAATAAGCACAGGCAAAAAGACAAACACAAACAACTGTGGGAGGGGTCAGGGGAGGGCCACAGGCAGGGCAAAGGAGGAGGAAATAGAGTTAGTTATGTGTGTAAGAGAGGACAAAGCTTGTGGTTCTCAGAGTTGCTGGAACACTGAGGTGGGGGTGATACATAGAGATAAACGGGGTCCCAGGACCATAGAAAACAGCACAAAGGAGTCTGTGCTGGTCATGAAAGGACGTGGTCAGAAAGGAGTGTCTGACGATAACAGAGGTGGAAAGAATGAACTGCAGAGGCAGCACAGATAGAGACAGCAAGGCAGGCAGGACACCGCCATCCAAATGAGTGTGGGTGAGCATCTGTCTTGGATGGGGCAGAACGGAGTGCTGGAATAACAGACATCGAGGGTAGAACTAACAGGATTGGGAGGTTGAGGAAAGGGGGGGGGCGAGAGAGAGAGGGGGGGGACACAGAGTAACACTAGGTAAGGCGTGGGAAACTGATTTATGCAGAATGGCTAGGGTTGGAATAGAAGCTGAGATCTGCATATGTTCAGTGTGAACTATGTAGGGTACCTCTGGGTTACCCAAGTGAAAGTGTCTATTCTCACTTTGGGAATCTATCCAAAGAAAATAATTCTGCATATGTTCTGCAATACGTCTGCAATATGTTGAACAGTTACTCACACACACACAACAAGAAGAAAAATCAGAACATAACCTGAACGTCTAAAAATAGCACAATGGTTTAATAACAGATGAGCCACTCCATTCCATGGAGTGGATGAATGTATTAAGCCAATACTGGTAAAACTGGGGCAACACAAAACACTGGAGAAGATACTTAGCTTCCACAGCAGGATGTGAAATGTTGGTCACATTATGACTACAACCATGGTTTTTAAAACGGAAAAGAAAAAAGGATTAAAGGAAGCATATCAAATGGCAGTATTAACTAGGTTTTCGTGGTTAATGACTGGGTTGGATGATTTTTAAAATTATCTACTTTCCAATGTAATTTTAATATACTTTTATACCTCTCACAAAGGAGAAAACTTAAACACTATTAAAAAGTAAATTATATATTGTATATTAAAAGAATTACTATAAGAGTTTCCAAGAAGGTGGGCAGGGGGTTAAGGGGGGTGCTCCTACAATAGCTTCTATATGTGCACACCTGCTTTTAAATAAAAATATGCTTTAGTAAATCCATCATCTGAAAAGTGATTTGAAGCTGTGGCTGCAACAATTAAAGTACTATAAATAAAGGTTTGAAGGGGAAAAGTTCATTTTAAGGAACATGACTATGAGTTCCATCTTAAAATAGTAGCTATCATTTCTTAGAAGTTTTTATAAAATTCTCTTGAATTAGTCATTTTTAAGTGCTGATATTATTAGGCAAATGCAAGCTATATACAATGTGTCTGACTCAAAATAAAAATGACCTAGTTAGGGATAATGGGTGTAAATGAGACTTTAAAGCACATAAAAGCAAATGAGAACCAACAGTGCATGTGTATGACCATCCATATCTCCTTACCATAAACATCATCAATGCAGCATATGTATACATGCATGTGTACCTGGGTGTAGACACGTGTGTATGCATATGCAATAAGCCTAAATAAGAGTGACAACAGTTCAAATCCAATTTAACTGCATCTATACTAATAAAAGGGTAATATGCTAATTAGACTGGATAGATCAGAAGCCCTTCTGGACGTCCTTCAAGACAAAGCCACAGTGGCTGTGAGGGCCAAGGGCCGGCAGTGTGGGGGGGGGGGGGGGGGGAGGCGGCGGAGTGGGAGAGGTGCACCACACCTTCGTAGAGGCTCAATCTGCTGTGTCTCAACCTCCCACAGCCCCTCCCATAGCCAGCCTGGCCCCAGATCACCCCCACCACCACCAGTGGGCAGTGGGCAGAGCCAGCGCTAAAAAGCAAGGGCAGAGGGCTGGCAGCTGCAGCCGGCAGAGGCAGCAGCGGTGGGTGATGGGGATGGCACCTTCCCCTGATTGGCCTGGTCACCTCCCAAGAGAGAGGCCAGAGGCAGCAGCAGCGGTGGGGTGATGGGGGCAGCACCTCCTCCTGACTGGCCTGGTCACATCCTGTAGAGGAAGGCCAGTCTGTGGCTTAGGCTGGCTCCCTGCTAGTTAAATCTACTTTAACTACATCTATACTAATCCCCCGAGGGCTTCCAGACTGTGAGAGGGGGCAGGCCAGGCTGAGGGACTTCCTCCTCCCCGCAGTGCACGAATTTTCACGCACCAGGCCTCTAGTCTTTAATATTCTTGTATTCTCCTCTGATTAAGCTTACCAAAAAAACAATCTTTCATGGGGGGGGGGAGGGATGAACAAAAAAGCCCGAGTGCTTTAGGTATTCTTGTGATTCTCTTTTTAAAAACCAGAATCCAAGGATGTCTTTAAAGGGGTTTTGAATTTTGTCATAAAAGGGTGGTGAAAAAGCATTCTACCCATTCTGGCCCTACTCCACCCCAAACAGTGTGATGTGGAGACCACGTCCCTTATTCACAGGGAGCCCACGGAGTCAGTGCATCGGGGATGCAGATGTTTTGATCAACGTCACGATCAAAACTATCTTCTAACGGAGGCTCATAATTCAAATAACCCCCAGTATTTTCAATGGCTCCTCCGTGCTGTACAAATAAACCCCAAACCTTTTCACACAGTGTGACAAGGTCCTCTGGAATCTGATCCCTAATCACTCCTCCAGGTTCAAAGGCCCTGCCTCTAGGGAAGGGCAACACGCCACGCCTTCCTGACATGCCCATGAGGACCTTTGCTCACAGCTCCTGATAGAGCCTCAGGGTCCACCCAAAGGCCCCTCAGCACAAAGCCTGCTGGCTGTCTGCCATCATGCAATCCCGCTTCCAGGCTGGACCCCTCACCATGCAGCACGGAAAAGGGCTTTGCACACACACACACACACACTCCCCTGCAGTGCCCAGGTCCCGAGGCCGGTGGTGGTCACTCCGCAACTGTAGCCCTCAGCGGGCTGGGATGCAGGCCGGGAGCCGGGCTCTTCTGTCCGGTCTCACCTGGGCGGTGTTTGCCCTGCCCACCTGGCTTTCAGACTCAGAGCTTCTGCCTTCACATTAAACTAGTCCTATCCATTATCCATTTTTATTGCAAAAAAAGAAAGAAGAAAAAAAAAAAGCTCTTCCATTTCTTATCCATTTTTGTGACCTTGATATCCCCAAGGAAGTACAAAATTAATGAGGGCTAAAAGAAAAGTGAAAGGACTTGGTGGTGGTGCTTCAGAGAGTTACTTTAAGTGGTTTCAGGGGTTGGTGGAATTTTATTTTTCTCCAAGCCTGCCTAATTTCAGTTCAAAATGGATTTCTTTTCTAGAATAAAGGAAAGCCATCTCGCATTGCTCCGAGCGTAATGCCCTGCATAGGACCAGCATGGAAGGAGAAGACAGGTGAGACAGGTGAACGGAATTCTAAGTGGGCAAGAACCAGCAGGACACGGGGAGGTGAGTGCAGAAGAAATGGCTAAACTAACGGAGATGGGATGAAGAGAAGGAAATAATACAGTAGAGACGCCACACATGCCCGAGAGCGGGCTCTCACTGTTCCCTGCTAAACCCCACTCAGCATCGAGTGACACATCTACCGAACAAACACACTCTCCTCCTCACGCCCACCCCTTTGCTCCCCACGCTTCATGCTTCTTTAGATGCCAAGGCCTTCATGTGCAGGAGTCTGTGCAGTGACCCTCCTTCCCCCAAGCTCCGTCTCTCACCACGCCAACTCCTACTCAGCCTTCAGACCGAGCACTTACGCTGGACACAGGCCTTGGAAAAGCCCTCCAGTTTCCCCTTTGCTCTCACAGCACCCTTTTTTCTTTTTTCTTTTTTTTAAATTAAATGCTTATTGCAGTTTTTAGTTGTGTTTCTGATCAATTCTCTAAAGTGTAGATCATAAGCTCCATGACAGCACCGACAGGCGTGTTTTTCTCAGTGCCCCTGAGGCAGAGGCTGGAGCTAGCACGGCGCCTGGCACATGGCAGGCATCCTGGGAGCATCTGCTAAATGAATGAATTAAATGAATGAATTAAAACTTAAAATACTTGCTGGGCCTCAGGACTTGCTGGGCTTCTCAGAGATGACAAAATCCCCAGAACAGCTCTCACCTCTCTGGTCTCCTCCTACATTCCCTCCACCGTGCTCACGATGTCCCCACCTTGGAATGCCTCCCCGCCCCCTTGTCCTGTCTCTCTTTCTGGACTAGCTGTGACATCACCTCTTCTGAGAGTCTTCCTTCATCTCTGTCTCAGGCTGTTCCAGGCGCTTGTTTACACTGTGCTCTCCCAACAAGTTCTACCCTGGGGCTTACCCCCATTTAATTACTATCCTATTTTCTCACATGGTCACTTAGATGCCTCTGCCATTGGGTTAAGTTCTTTGCAGTTAGGGATCTAGCTAACAGTCCCATATGTTAAAAAGTCACACATACGCGTGTGTTTCTGTTTTATCTTGACAAAAAGACATGCATAGGCCCTATATACTTGGTCTCCGCTGAAGGAACACATTCAAAGGCCATTTTGCAAACAGAAAAGATTAGCCTTGTTCACTTCATGAACTACAAGATGCTTAAAGGAACTGAGTTGGCTGTTACCAAGTCTTACATTGCCTTCTTGGTCACGACAGGCTCAAATTACTGCAATTCCACCAAATGCTGAAAAACAAAGCAAGAGCACCTTAGGGAAATGTAAATACTTACAAGGAGCATCAGCATAAAAGATCCCATATAGATGATCAGGAAAAACAAGGAAATCATCGTCAGAGTAAGAATTCCACGGATCCACCAGTTTTTCCACCTGCAAAGAAAATGTTTATAAAGTTAGCACTGAATGTGTCCTTAACAGCATTTTTGTGTGAGGATGGTTTCAATAATGAGTTACCAGACTTAAGGATTTTCCCTAACTATACTTTAAGAATCCCTTATAATAAAAACAAAAACAAAACAAAAAAAACCCAACCAACCAAAGAGCATCTGTTCACTCAGTGAGCGCTAAATTAAATGTAAAGATTACTACGTAAGCCAGAGAAAAGGCCTGACTTTTGTTTATTGTGAGGATGAATCATGAGACGAAGCAGTGAGGGGATGGACATGGATGTGTGCACTTCTCTCAGGGTCATTCAGAAGGGAAGGAGGAGGCAGGTGCAAAAGTCCTCCCAAGCGATGACCAATCCTTTGGGGAACTGGACAAAAATAATACGATTCCAAGGTGGTTCAGACAGAGTGGGTGACCTTCTGATGAGTAAGAGGAAAGAGAGGCTGATGCAGAACTGAAACTGGAGAGCACAGCAATGCCAGTGAAAGGCAGAAGGTGCCGGCGAGGAGGTCAGTCGCAGAGGACAAGGCCAAACTGAATATCACGTCCTTCTGTGGCTCAGTGTGCAGCTGCTCTCCTTGGCTGGGGACAGGGCCCTCAGTAGAAAGGCATTTTCTTCTCTGGGCCTTTGCTTGTTCCTTACAGCACAGCGTCCACGCTGGCACAACGACCTGGTTGCTGAGAATTCATCTCCCTCAATCCCCAGGCAGCTGTCAGTCAGGGTCTGGGTCCCCCACCCTCAGGAGCCTTCCACTTCATCCTCAGTGCACCTTACAAATACTGTCACTCTTTATGTGGCCATGTCATGAAAAATGTCGGCAGCTGCTTTTGACACATGTAAAATGATTCTACTACCACCTGTGTATAGATGATGATTTCTGAATCTAAAATTGCTGCCCTGCTTTTTTCATTCTACATGCATTTTACATTATACACACAGTAGTTTTTTTAAGACATCTGATTTCTACTGATTCAAATGGTAACATTTAAATTATGTTACAAGAGATTTGGATTCAACTTAAAGTATGACAACATATATGTACAATATCTAAGCAAGTCTCCTTCCCATAAAAGAAACAGTTGCCAATTTCGTCTGTTTATTAAATATTGATTGTATTCCCTGCTTCTAATCACCCTCCTATACAGTCCAGATACTTGTTAAATATCTCTTTCATCGTGTCATTTCTACACTCAAGATCTAAAATACCAACATTAAATCCAAACTCTTTTATCTAGCTTCTAAGATTTTTCATTGTCAAATTGTTCTTAGCCGACTTTATTTTCCTCTGCTGTTCAACCAACTATGTAGACACATACATTTCTCACAGACTGTAAGCTTTGGGGCTGAAATGAAATGAGTATAGAGTAAAAAATGGTATAGATGAAAGGTTTCATTAAGTTTTAGAGATATAGCCCTTCATGGGCTAATGAATGGATTAGAGAATCAGGTTAGGTCACAGAGCTGGTCAGAGGTAAATTAAGGACATAACACAGTCTCCTGCTAATAACCCTGGCCTGCTTGCATGAAACCTAGATGTGCTCTTAGCCCTTCTTAATAACTGATCCTCAGACTCAGAATTACCTAAACCTCTCTAGTCAGTTGGACACTATGTAAGGGTTCAAAATCAGCCCCATGGTAGATGTTGCTCATGTCCATATGTTCCTCTGTTAGATGCCTAGCTTTGAACTTCAGAGAATGGTAGCTGCTGAGAACCAGAGATTTTAAACAGGAAACCTATTGTCTTCATATCACCCCAAAATCTCATGGCAACTCAAAACCAGGGTCTTCAAAGAACATATACTATCTGGTTGTCTTTTATGTAGGTATTTCCCCTCTGAGAAAAATTCTCACACTCTAATAAAATTAAAGACTTACTTCCCTTATTTATTTTAACTTAACTGATTCCCCAAATTTCCCAAGAATACCTAATACTAAGTTAAGCACATATATATCCACTGTTACAGTAACCAAAAGTCATCTTTCAGGAAAGAAGACTGAATTTAAAGCAGAGCACAATATGAAAAAAAAAAGAAAGAAAGAAAGAAAGAAAGAAAGAAAGAAAGAAAGAAAGAAAGAAAAGAAAAGAAAAGAAAAGAAAAGAAAAGAAAAGAAAAGAAAACAACTGTTACTAAAAACCAGAGGACAGTCTGGTTCTGAATTCAAAATTCTCCAGCTCCTTTCCCCACTTCCAGGATCACATTAGAGAACGCCTTAATTTTGAGTTTGTTATCACCTCACAGATTGTTTTGGAAAAAGGAACTGAGAATCAGTAGAGGAAAAGTGTATTCAAGTTTAATGTCATGAGGACCTGTCTGAGCCAGAAATGAGATTTCCAAAAAAGTATGTAATTAATCAGTATTCTTGAAAGTGATTAAAGTGATAAAACACATTGTTCACATCAATTTGAGTATGTACAATGACTTACCATTACGTGGCTTTTATTTCAAAAGTAATGACAAGGTTTTAAAAAAAAACAAAACAAAAAAAATAACCAACAAACTAGTGCCAAAAGCATCATGAGTCATCAAGAACCTGGTTTGACAAGACAGTTCACCTGAGCCAAGAACTGGGCCACAGAGGCACTCCTCAAAAATAAGCAAGAATGGGCCCTGACGGGGTAGGTCAGTGGTTAGAGCATCAACCTCATATGCCTAAGTATCAGGTTCAATCCCAGGTCCGGGCACATACAAGAATCAACCAATGAATGCATAGATGGGTGCAACAACAAGTTCATGTTTCTCTCCCTCTCTCTCTACAATCAATCAATCAATATTTTTAAAGATAAAAAATAAACAAAATTTAGTGGCAAAGAGGGGGAGTTTTGAGAATGTCCATCTACCAGCATTTGGAGAAAGTGCACAGGAAATGTATAGGTTCCAGGAAGGGAGGGAGTTAGGGAGAGAGGGAGGAATTTAGGGAGGGAGAGAGGGAGGGGAAGAGAGGGAAGGGGAGGGGAGAAAGGAAGATGGCATTACGGCTATACCTGGATGTGTCCTGGGCTTCTCAGCCTCAGAACGGTATTGTTTCATGCCAGATAATTCTTTATTGTGAAGCACTGTTCTGCGTACTGTAGGATGTTTAGCAGGAATCCTCTTTAGTCTCTACCCACTAGATGCTAGAAGCGCCATCTCTCATTGTGACAACCAAAAAGGTCTCCAGACACTGCCCGGGATGCAACCCACAAGCTAGACTCCTAGCTGAGGAAGAGCTTCAGTAAGGACAAAGCCAGCCTTAAGTGGCTTAGGAGTGCTCAGACACAGGTCAAGAAACAGTGGCTCAGACACAGTGCCAAATGACCGAAGATCTTTCAGGCTCCTTCCAATTTCAACAACTTAAAGACTTTTTGACATTGTATATTAAAGCCTCAAAAGTAAGCCTGAACCTTGACCAAGCAATTTCACTTTTAAGATTTTATCCTAAGAAAATAATTACAGTTGCTAAATAAAAGTTATCTCTAAAGAAAAACGTTTAATGCAAAATTGTTTTTGAGCATGAGAATTTAGAAATCAGCTAAATGCCCAGCGACAGCTCTTTAAACTACAGTCATGCAAAGGAATATATTTAAGGATATTTTATGTATATTTAAGGATATTTGTTCCTAATACCCCGGAATGAAAATGAAAACAGACAAGCAGAAAATAGTACAACGCTATTTTTATACCACACACCACACACACACAAAAATATGTACAAGAGGAAAAGGTTTCAGATTAAACACCGCAATACTTCAAATATCAATGTCTTTGTGAGAGGATAATAGGGTGTTTCCCTGTAATTCATGAAAATTTCTTATGTAACTAGTTTTTTAATCCTATGTATCCACCACTTCTAAATCATTGTAACACAAGACTACCATATTTTCCAGCGTATAAGACGACCCCCTAATTTCACAGTTAAAACATAGGTTTAGGCCTATATTCGCTGTATAAGACTACCCCCCACTTCCGAGGCAACACCAGTTTTTTTAATAGACCACCTCTCTGACTCTGGCCAATCCGAGCAGGCTTTTTATGCATGCAAATTATACATGCTCTGTACCCGAAGCTACACTGTGTTCTAGTAAAAAGCCTGCTCAGATTGGCCAGAGTCAGAGAGGCAGTCTATTAAAAAAAAGAACTGGTGTTGCCTCGGAAGTGGGGGGTAGTCTTATACAGCGAATATACCTATGTTTTAACTGTAAAATTAGTGGGTCGTCTTATACGCCGGAAAATACGGTATTTAAAGTAGTACAGAGGCTAAAATGGAATAAGATAGAGACTTTGAAACATTCATGTAACTTCTACACTGAAGTTTTATGAGAAGATTGCAACTGGTAACATATCCTCTATTGTTCATTAAAAAAAAAAAAAAAAATCTTGCCCTGGCTGGTTTTGCTCATGCAGTCTGTGGAGTGAAGGGTCCTGGGTTTGATTCTGGTCAAGGGCACATGCCCGGGGTTGCAGGCTTGGTCCCCAATAGGGGGTGTGCAGGAGGCAGCCAATCAATGATTCTCTGTTATCATGGATGTTTCTATCGCTTTCTCCCTTTCTTTCTGAAATAAAAATATTTTTTAAATAAAAAAATTAAATAATTCTTTTATAAATAGAGCACAATGCCTAGATTCAGAATGTGGTTATATTGTCTACTAGCCACATGACTCTGGATATATAAAATTTCTGTGCCTCAGTTTCCTCATTTGTGAAATAGGTATATAAGTGTACCTGTGTTGCAGGTTGAGAATAAGTTAGTCAATACATGTACACAGTATATGCTCAATAAATATCAGCTGCTATTATTTGCTATTGTTGCTTTACAACAATGGGGGGAGAACCTTAATTGTTAAGAAATTATTATTGACACATAGGAATCTAGCATCATTCTTATATAAATCAATATAAGTTTCCAAATCTGCTATAGACCTGCTAAGATTTTAAAGCAAAGATACTTTTGTCAACTAGGTCATAAAAGTAATTGGGATCAAGACTATTAAAATAATAATCATGTTTTGAATATCAGCAAAAAATTTGTTCTATTGGTTAAAATAATTATGAAAACTTTTCTTTGAAGCAATTTATTTCTAACACTAGAGGCCCAGTGCATGAAATTCGTGCACTGGGGGGCGGGGGGGGGGTCCCCCTCAGCCTGGCCTGCACCCTCTCCAATCCAGGACCCCTCTCATCTGGAACCTAACCGCTGGCTCCTAACTGCTCACCTGCCTGCCTGCCTGACTTCCCCTAACCACTCTGCTTGCCTGCCTGATTGCCCCTAACCACCTCTGCCTGCCTGCCTAAATGCTCCTAACCTCTCTGCCTCTCTGTTTGATTGCCCTAAATCCTCCCCTGCTGGTCTGAGTGCCCCTAACAACCTCTGATTTCCTGTCTGATGGCCCTAACTACTCCCCTGCTGGCCTGTTTGCCCCTAACTCTCTCCCCTGCTGGCCTGATCACCCTTAACCGCCTCTGCCTCCGTCCCCCCACTATGGCTTTGTCAGGAAGGACGTCGGGTCTATCTGGTCTAATTAGCATATTACTCTTTTATTAACATAGATGGTTATAACCTAGAAGCTAAAAACAGAAAAACTCACATTACATTAACCAGATATGACTAAACCATTTTTTTTGTTGTTGTTGTTATAATCCATGGGTAGTAAAATCAATTTAGTAAGTTACATCCAAAATATGTTATTCAATAACAGAATAGTATCAAACAGGAAAAAAAGGACATCACACAACAATGATAAGAACTGTTTCATAACACTTTTGTAGCAGTTAAAATATACATTTGTTTATCTCTTGGGATGTGGTGTGAAATGTACCTCTTACTGCATGTCACAGTCAAAAACATGGAAAAACTGTTCCATACCAACATTTAAGATTTCACAAATTAATCTAAAGAAAAGCTTAGATTTATTTTGCTTTTATAGATTTTATAATTCATATTACTAAAGCATACAAAGGAGGACAATATAAAATTAGGTAAAATTTGTTACTGATCACACATTTTAAAATATAGCACAAATATAAAATGGTAAAAGGTTGCAGAGTTTTGGACAATAATTTAAAACTCAGTTTAAAAAAGTGAGCTATATTGCAAAAACAGGTTTGGCTTAGGGATGGAGCATCAGCCTGCAGACTGAGGGGTCCCAGATTCAATTACAGTTAAGGGCATGTTCCTTGGTTGTGGGGGCATATAGTGGGAGGTGTATAGGAGGCAGCTGATCAATGTTTCTCTCTCATCAATGTTTCTGGCTTTCTGTCCCTCTCTCCCTTCCTCTCTGTGAAAAATCAATTTTATATATATATATATATATATTTATTTATTTATTTTTAAATGAGCTACGTCCCTCTGGTACTTGAGAACAGGAAACAGAGAATATAGAATTTTCTTTATTAAATGTTCCCACACCAGAAAAGGCAACCTGATGTAATAAATAGATCACTTGCTTCAGAAATCTGACCAACTGGAATAAGAATCCCAGGTCTGCATCTCATAGCCCTGTAACCTTTACCAGGTAACCTCTCAGATTTGGTTTTCTCATCTATAATAATAAAAGGGTAATATGTCAGGCGTCTTCAAACTACGGCCCGCGGGCCACATGCAGCCCGAAGAGGAGTCTGATCCGGCCCGCCAGGTTTTTTGGGCAGTGAGCGCAGCCGAGGTGTTACAGTAGGAATTAGTAGTTCATATAGTCCGGCCCTCCAGCTCTCTGAGGGACCGTGATCTGGCCCCCACTTTAAAAAGTTTGAGGACCCCTGTCAGCTAAATAGACCAGACGTCGTCTGGACATCATTCAGGACGTCCTTCCTGACAAAGCCAGGGCCAAGGGAAGCCAGCCAGGATCCCGGGTGTCTGCAGGTGGCCAAGGGGAAGCCTGGGTCCCGGGTGCTGGAGGGAAGCCAGTGCTGGCAGCCGGGGGAAAGAGGCCTACTCTCGCACGAATTTTGTGCATTGGGCCTCTAGTAACTCATAAGATCTTAAGGATTAAATGAAGGATGCACATTAAGCATTTAATACTATGTTTGCTTCACCTACAATGAAAACATATAAGCCTTCTCTCTCAGAGCTCCAAAGCTTAGAAATAGTGAAAATAGTACTACATGGGCCAGGATAACCCCACAACTTATCTTGTGCACCTATGATATCCATCTTTATCCAATCATACCTTGAAGATAAACCAGAGAGTGCTTTCTTGAGGATCTCAGGGGTTCTATCTGAGGATGGTGGAATTTCTGGAATCTCAGAATCTGCTCTGGAATCCAAATCTCCATATCTGTCATCAATATCTGTTTCCTAAAGTTAAAGAGAAAAGAAGATCACTCTGTTAAATAGAAAGGGGGGGGGAAAAAAAGCCACACACTTGCTAATTATTTATTGCTCTGTGTGTCAAATCTCAGTTACATAACTTGAAACAAAGAAACAACTATTAACTCACCTTGACTATCCAACCTCTCTTGTACTTCCTTGTTAGGAAAGTTTTATTATCTGTGCTAAAATCTATCAATGAAAAGGACTCGTGTAAACAAAAGACGAAGAGAAACTCCCTATATTGCCTAAAACATAAATTTACCACAAGAATTAAATATTTATTCCTTTGATACTTCACTGGGAGAACATAGTGTTATTCCATATAGATTCCGATAAGCTCTTTTTATTGGTTACAGTCAAAGCAACAACCAGGGTAATATCTGACACTGGCACAGCATTATATATCTATAAAGCATATATAACTCGGTTTTGAAGTTGTTTGCTATGCTGTCCTGTAACAGTCTCCACTCCTGCATCCTCCCCTCTCCTACACCCCCACCCAAGCAACCTTCAGTAAAGAATGCTACACCCGCCTGCACTTTGGGGAAGTGGTTTACAGAGGAGGGACCGGGGCTACAGGGACCAACAGAGGGAGAGGAACGAGAGTATTCACAGGAGGTGAGTACCAGCAGGAGCATTGAGCCGATCATTGGGCCAGGAGTGATCCTAGGAATGGATCCAAGGATTCATTCAGGAATCTCAAACCAAACAGCCCTATCAGCAGACGGCTTCGCCCCGTCAGACATTTTCTTTACCTATAGAATGGAAGCTTTTCATATAATGCCAAGGACTTACTGAAGTCAAAGGAGAGAGCTATCGCTATGATTGCAGCAAGTCTTCCAATTCCTCATGAAGTGTCTTACCAAATAACACATTAGCCTTGGGGGTCTATTTTCAGTTTTCATAAAGTAGTAGTAAATTTTTGCTTACTAAAGATAACGTTCCTACTATACAATTATGAAATTAAATGATGCTATACCAAAAATGACAAATGAAACAGACATGCCAAATCCCCACTGTGACACTGAGAGCCAGCTGGCCCCAAAGCAGCTTAAGCAGAAAGAGATGTTGACTTAATAAACCGCCACACAAAGTGTCCCCTGAAAATATCAGGGAACCTGCTGAGGCCTGACAGGCCAGCAGGTCTTTGATATCTGGAACAATGAAGCCTCTCTCTCTCTCTTTCTTTCTCTCTCTCTCTCTCTCTCTCTCTCTCTCTCTCTCTCTCTCTCTCTCTCTCTCTCTCTCTCTCTCTCACATTTTGGTCTTTTCCCTGCTACTCTTTTTTTCACCTTCAAGAACCCAGAGTTTCCCTGCAGGGGTGGTGTGAGTGGTAGTGGAGACGGTGACCAATGGAAATGTTCCCATATGGCAGCACCACCACGTTGTACAAAGACCACTAGACTAGGAAGCAGGGGTTGCCAGTACGAAGGCCACCTGTTCTCTACCCAGAAGAGTGGCAAAGGGCAAATCACTTATCTCTTTAAAAAAAAATCACACACTCAGCTTTTGGTTTCCTCATAAAATAAAAGTTTTGGGCCATAATTCAAACTGTGGAAACACTAACCCTTTCAGCAAGCCACTTCGGTCCACTTGCCAATGATGGTGATATGCCAAGGCCCTCCTCTCCACACCCTCAAGAAAGTGGTCCTGTTTTTACTTTTATTATTGAAGCTTCTGGGTTCTATTTTATACAGTCAGAGAAACACAAAATGAAAAACTTAAGTTTTAACTAGGCTTCTTCATTTCATGCTAATCACTAAAGAATAAAAGGCAGTGCTTAAATAGTGGCCTTCTAGAGCAATTTTCCTCAACTTTGGGAATTAGAAGCAGAGATTCTTGTGTTTCTGCATTTCTTGTATGGATCCTGTTACAGATGCCAGACTTGACAAGGAAAACAAGAGTGTGATTGCAGGTAATGGGAAGAAGGAAGCAGCACTTGAATGCAGGCTGAATGAAGGTTCTTAACATGTTTAAGAACACCAAATTAGGAGCTTTTCCCCAATCCCTAAATTTAAAGACAATAATCCTCCCCTTTCTATCTTTTTAAAAATATTTTTATTGATTTCAGAGAGGAAGAGAGAGAAATATCAATGATGAGAGAATCATTGATTGGGTGCCTCCTGCATGCCCCTTACTGGGGAGCAAGCCCACAACCTGGGCAGGTGCCTTGACCAGAATCCAACCCAGGAGCGTTCAGTCTGTAGGCCGACATTCTCTCCACTGAGCAAAACTGGCTAGGACCTCTTTCCTTCTAAAGCCTGGGTTCTCCCACTACCCACCAGGGGCTGTACCCTCTTAGCTTCCCATCTCTCTCTAGACTACCTCAAGACTCCCCATACACCGGGTCTCTAGCTCCTAACATGGATTGGGTTTTCCACTAGCATCCCCTGAAATTCAACAGAAGCAAATTGACCTCTCTTTTTCCACACCAAACCCGCTGCCCCTTCTACATTTCCTCTTCAGGAAGACACCACCACCAAACAGGTAACCAATTAAATCAGGTCAGGCACCTGGCTACCAACTGAACAATTCCATTTCCTTTCACCAAAACACATCTGCGTAGCACCAGGCCCGGTATTAGTCTTTCCCCCACGTCCATCCCCACCCATGGCTACTGTTCCTGAGCATCTGGTGCCTCAGTGCTTCATCCCCCTACCCTCTCTACTTTATTTTCAATATAAAAGGAATCCTTCTAAACTGCACATTGAATCTTAACACTCCGCAACCTAAAACCACAGGATCCAATCAAACCACCTGACATTGCTTTTACTGTTCACGATGGCACCCCTCTTTGATGACTCCCCAGTTTTCACACCACACTGTTCTCTCTCTTACATCCAAATATTTGTTCCACCTATAAAATACAAACTGTGCATTTTCTCTGTTGCACGCATCCTGGTCCAAATCTTCCCGTTCAGATTCCTAAAACCTGGCTACGGCCCACTCATCCTCTGACCTTGGTTTCAAGGTCACATCTTTTACAAATGTCTTCCCGGACCCCCAGCTCCAGGTAGGCTGCTCTTCAAATGTGTTTCCACAATTTCCCTTAGGTTTACCTATTAGTCTACATTAAAAGTGTATGTTTGCTTGTCTATATTTTTCAGTAGTCCACAAGCTTTGTGAGAAGAGGAAATACCATCCATTGGCCTCATTCTTAATCCCAAGAGGCCAGCAGAGGGCTTATACACTGGCTTGCATTTATTAGGTAATACATAAATAGGTGGTTAATGCTAACATTAGGATTAAAATTAGAAGTTCTCCTTTGTTGCTAGATGAATAGTCTTGACAAAGTTGTGTGGTCAATTCCACCTCTGTGTAATGAGGGCTTATGGACTTTTCAAAATATGAAATTTAATGAAAGTATGTCTAGTAAATGAAGGTTGAAGAAATAAAAGTTTCTTTATTTACCCTGTAAATCCAAATCCATGATTAGAAAACATGAGCAAAAGCACTTTACAAATATTGATTTATTTATTCCTCACATTAACCTAGAGGTAGGTAAATAACCACCTCTATTCTATAGGTAAAAAAAATTGAGGTTCGCCCAGCTGGCATGTCTCAGTGGTTGAGCATCAGCCTATGAACCAGAAGGTTGTGGCTTATTTCCAGGTCAGGGCATATGCAGGATTGCGAGCTTCATTCCCAATGTAGGGCATGCAGCAGACTGATGATTCTCCCTCATCATTGATGTTTCTAGCTCTCCCTCTCTCTCTTCCTATGGGAAATCAATAAAAAATATATATATTTAAAAATAAACTGAGGCTCTGAAAGATTAAGTAAAGTGTCCAAGTTTACAGAGATCTAAAGAAATGTAGCTAAACTTTGAAATCATACAGGAGCATAATTAAAATGACAATTCTCTCCCAAATTGATCTACAGATTCAGTGCAGCCCCAATAAACATCTCAACAGGCGCTTTGTTTTATTTTTGTAGAAATGCACACACTGCCTTCCCCTCTGGGATTGAGGGTTACTGGGGGATTCTGTCTGAATGAGGCTGGATGCTGTGAGGACTGGGTGAGACAGGACTGAGGGGACTGAGGGACTGAGGCTGGATGAGGTGGGGCTGAATGAGGTGTATGGTGTTTGCCACCCCCCGACAGGGACAGGGCTGAGGGGACTGGGAGATTCCAGCTGGATGAGGCAGATCTGAGGGGACTGGGCACCGCCATCTTGTGAGGGCATGAGGGTCAATTAGCATATTCTCTCTTTATTGGCTCAGGTGCCACCATCTTGTGAGTGTTTGATGGTCAATTAGCATATTACCTCTTTATTAGATAGGAGTCTAGAAAATATAAACTCATCTATTGAGCCAGAAAGCAGATCGGTGGTTATCTGGGAGTGAGGAGGGAAATGCAAAAGAGCAGGAACAGAAAACTTTTGTAGTGATGGATAGGTTCATTATCTTATCTTTAGTGATGAATTTATACATGCAAACATAGTTTCATTTTTTTGCATGTATCTGTCCAATTTCCCCAACACCATTTATTGAAGAGACTATCTTAACTCCATTGTATGTTCTTGCTTCCTTTGTCAAATATTAATTGAGCATAGTGGTTTAGGTCAATTTCTGGGTTCTCTATTCTATTCCATTGGTCTATATGTCTTTTCTTGTGCCAATACCAGGCAGTTTTGAGAACAGTGGCTTTGTAATACAGCTTGAAATCTGATATTGAGATCCCTCCTACTTTGTTCTTTCTCAGGATTGCTGCAGCTATTCGAGGTCTTTTTTTATTCCAGATGAATTTTTGGAGAGTTCATTCTAGGTCTGTGAAATATGTCATTGGTATTTCAAATTTAATGGGGAGTTCATTGAATCTATAGTTTGCTTTGGGTAGTATGGACATTTTAATGATGTTGATTTTACCAATTCATGAACACAGTATATTCTTCCATCTGTTTATGTCTTCCTCTATCTCTTTTTTTAAGTGTCCGATAGTTTTCCAAGTATAGGTCTTCTACCTCCTTAGTTTATTTGTATGC